TATCATTAAACCATCATGGCTCCCTGTTCTTTTCGTGTCTCAAATGATAGGATATATTCCAACCATCATGGTTCCCTATTCTTATCTTGCAGATTTTAATTTGGTAGCTCTGTGATGGAGTCTGAGGACCAGATCCCTACTAAGCTTCAAGGAGATGTTATGGGTGCCATCCGGGACCATCCTACTAAAATCAGGAAGGAATTAGGCCATTCCTGTCCCCACTTTCTATGCAAGCTCAGGGTGCTGAGATATTTAAGTAGGTAAGTTTCATCTAGGAGTTAGCTGAATGTGGAGATTTTAAGGATGCAATCTCGGAAACTCAATATATCTCCATTTCTAATAAATACCCAGGGAATTCATTCACCATTTCTTTCTTCTTTCCTTTCCTTCTTTCTTTCTCCCACCTCCTCCTTCCTTCCCGTCCCCTCCTCTTCCCTGTCCTCCTTCTTGTGTGTGTGACAGTCTTATACTCTACTCAGGCTGGCCTGGAACTAAAGTAATCCTCCTGCCTCAGCCCCCTTAGTGCTGGGACTTCCGTGGAAATTCAGAATCAGAGAAACAGATACAAAGTGTCATTTTCTCTGAGACATTTTGAAGAGCAGTGTCTCTGTTAATTTAAAATGCTAATCAAATCATATGGGAGCATTTTTTGTTTTCGAGAGTGAGAAAAAAAATATTCCAAAAGTTAGTGGCAGAAAGAGCACTTTCATCATATTCCTAACTTTACTGGAATCGCTTGGCACACGGATGATAAGGGGCTGCTCAAAACAGGAAAGATGACCTTATGGCACGTAGCTCAGGAAGGGTGGCTCAAAGGCTGGGCCCAGCAGAGACTGCCACCTGCACACAAATTTATCAGTGTGGCTCGCTTGGTTTATGGGCTCCCAGGGAGTTCCAGGATACCCTACATGAGGTGGCCAGTCTCTCAGGGATCCATCTTAGAAAGGGTCACAATGGCGCTTCTGCTACAGTTCATTGGTCAAAGCAGTGACAGAGCTCACCCAGATGGGAGGCACGAAGCTGTCATAAGCAGACAGCTTCATGTGGCACCATGAAGACTCCCACATGCTGCCCCCAGCCAGGGCCCCATACTCAAAGGGCTGAACTTTGGGGCTAATACTCTGATGCTGTTGCTTGAAATTTCTCATGATTTTTGAACAAGGGCATTACACTCCTCTTTGGTACCTGGTCCCACAAGTGTAGCCCCTCCTTGTCTTAAATTCTATCCTTCAACGGGAGAAGTGTTAAAAATGGCAGTAACCAAGGCAGTTATGGTGATGCCCATCGGTAGTCCAAGCTCACTACAAGGAAGTGTGGGATGGAAGAAGTGAGTTGAAGGCCAGCCTGGGCTGCAGAGTGAGAGCCTATCTCAGAAAGCCCCTCCTCGTATGCTAGCTTTTAAAATCACATCGTGGCATGCGTTTGCAAGTCAGTGAACAACTTTCAGGAGTCAGTTCTCTACCTCTATGACCTAAGTCTCAAGAACTGAACTCACGCCAGAAGTCTCAGAAGCAAGGGCCTTTGCCATTTCTGTCCCCAAAACATCTATCTTCAATCAGTCACCAGCCGCCTGCCTCATATGCTCAGGTGAGGTCCCATAACTGGTGGCAGAGCAACAATAGCAACCAGAAAATTACAAAAAGCAAATCTCTCCCAGTTGGTAAAATGTTGCATTGCTTTTCTCATTGTGACAAATACTTGTCAAAAAGTAACTTAAGGAAGAAAAGAAGGTGGGACAGAGAGAGGGGGAGGGAGGGAGGAGGGAGGGAGAAAGGGCTTATTTGGGTTCACGGTTTGAGTGTACTGTCCCCCATGGCAGGAAGGAATTGTGGACAGACCATGAGAAGGCTACTCACATTGCATCTGCAGCCAGGATATAGAGATGAATCCTGATGGCCCAGTCACCTTCTCCTGTGTACTCATTCTGGGACCCCAGCAGGTAGAATGGTGGTACCCACAGTTACCGTTGTCGGCTAAACCTCTTGGGGAAATGCCCTCCCAGACATGCCAAGATGACTCAGAATCCTATCAGGTTAACAATGGAGATTTATCCTCACATGTGTGGATGAACTGATGCAGAATGAAAAGTGATCCTTGCGGGGCTTTGCACAGGATATGCAATGACTGTTGTAACTGTTGGCATGAGGACGAACTTTCAATAGATACGAATATCCAGCATTCTGGATAACTGTCAGAGAAAGAAGCTACATTTTGAAGAAATGAGAGTTGGCAGAAAGTATCACAAGGAAAACAGCAACCATGTTGTTGACAAAAGGAATGTGTCCCAACAAAGGTGAAGTATATGTCAAACATGGAGTCATCATCAAAGGGACGATGGGAAAAGAGAGACTGACTGTTTTAGGGCTCTTAGGAGAATCTGAATTCACGCAGTGTCAGTAAAGTGCAGTTCTTTTCTGTCATTTGGAGAAGGTGGGTGATGAGTTTTATGCATGCACACTCGTGGATGTCCTCAGCTGAGTCACATTCCAAAGCTGGACATTTTCAAGTGAGTTGTCGGCTGTCTAGAGGTTGGGACAGAATGTGTTTGCCTAGCATGTATAAAGCACTAGGTTTGATCCCCAGCGCTGCATAAACTAGTCATGGTGGCACATACCTGATTCTCAGCACCTGGGAGGTGCAGGCAGGAGCATCAAAAGCTTGAGGTCATCCTTAGCTACAAAGAAAGGTTGAGACCAGTCCGGGCTACAGGGGACCATGGCTTAAAAAGAAAAGGAAGGAAGGAGAGAAGGCAGGAAAAAGAAATCTAGAGAATGGTCCCTAAATCTCTGGTCTATGTTAAAGGAGCAGACATTAGAAATCAGCAACTAGAAAGGATCTGAGAATGTAGGGAAGTTCTTTGGGTACCTAGGTAGAGCAGATGCTTTCCTTTAGAAACCTTATGGTAATAAGTGGAGAAATTAATATGTAATCCTTCAACTTAGAAGAGTACAAAGGCCAGAAAAATATCTACGGGGTCAGAGAAAAGATGGCCAGGTACTTTAAAGGAAGGCGTTCGGGGACCTTTGTTCAGGGATCAGAATGGACCAGCCTTCCCTGAGTTGTTTGGGGAAAGGCTGTTTGCTACGTGGTAAACGTGATGGGTCAAAGATGTGACTTCAGCTCCTGAAGGTGCTGATAGCAAACCACTCTCAGCCATCAGTCTCCGCCAGCTAAAAGGAGCAGATGGTGAGCTTAAGTGAAAATTTGGAGTCCTAGCCCCCAAACCAACCTAGGACAACTCTATAGGCTCATCCCAGCCTCAAAAGTCCCTGTGGGGTTGGCTGAGGGGTTGGGAATGCAGCACTGTCCTTGTGCCAATCCTCACAGCTTCCCCTTCCTTGCCTCAGCATTCCTGGTAGGCATCTTGTTTGGTTATCTACATCTGAGAGTATGGCTTTCCATGAATCCCGACAATGCCTGTAGATCAGATGGAAGCCTATGGTCAAGTGAGCCACCAAAGACTATCTTAGGTCAGCCTAAGGAGGTTCTTAGAACAGATGCTTAAAATGCCAACAGATTTCTTGCAGCTGGGGAAGGGGTAGCAAGAGCTGGAATAAAATCATATCATCCTTGGGCAAGGGACTTCCAGCAATGATGGCAGAGCGGAGAAAATGGCTGGCCTTCTGAAGAAATTTCAAGACTGCCTAAGAAGGAAAGGGCAAGTATAAAGAGGACTCTGGCGCCCATCCCACAACAATGTCAAAGACACTTCTGCCCTTTTCGTCCCCTCTAACCGGGGGCACCAATCTGGAATGGCGAAGAAGATAAGTTAGCAGACTAAGGTCAACTAGGAACAGAATGAAAAGATAGCGAGTTCCCTTCCTGCAAACCCTGTAATTATAATTTCCTTTCGCCTGGTTATACAGCTCCCAGCATCCTTCCCTGTTGCCAGCCGTTACAAAACCTGAGCTTATCAAAGGCCGGTCCTGGGTGGTCTCAGGTGCTGACGCTTCCAAGTTCTTTCCTGGCTGGCGTTTATTGATTACATGCATACTGAGAGGCACGCTAGGCCCTGAGCTGCCTCTGGAAAGGAGCCAAGGACCACGGAATCAGTGGCGGTGGAGCAGGGTCAGGTAGGTGTGCAATCTAGTTCTTGCTGATTGAGCCTTCACGCAGAGGAAACCGAGCAGCTAGCTCCCTTCCCGCTTGTAGGCTTGGGCTTAGTCTGGAGCTCTCCCTCCTGGATGTCCCAAGTCTAGCTCTTCTCCTGGTTCTGCCCTGCTTGCCCAGCTCAATCTCGACGCCTGTTTCTGCCAGCTCGCGTCCGCGATACCCATAGACTTCCTTTCTTGAGAGCCTCCCTCGTTCAGCCCTTTTCTCCCAGTTCTCCCTCAGAAGCCCACGCCCGCTTGTACGGCCACCGCCCGAAACCTGACTCCCGTCCCTCGGGGCGCGGCCTTTTCCTCCTCTGGTTGTCCCGCCAGGACCTTCTCCAGACTCCGTCTCTGACTCACTCTCTCTCCCTTCCCCCCTCCCCGCTGCCGCATTTACGCCCCCTAGCCGGGTTAAGCCCCCCAGATCTGCCGCCACACCCTCTCTGGGCCCTGCTCTTACCTAACCACGCCTCCTCTCGTGCCAAGTCCCACCCCTCCCGTCCTGCCAGTCCTCCTCTCCCACAGCCGCAGCACGCCCTGCCTGCTTGGCCTCGCCCCGAAATTATAACCACGCCCCTCCTCAGGTCGGCGGTTCTTCTTCAACACCACCGCCCCGCTCTATGCCACGATCCGCCCCTCTCCCCAGTCGCCAGGCCCGGCTCGCTCACGGCTCTGCTCTTTCCTCCAGACCCCGCCCTCCCCGCTGCTGCGCCCCGCCCCACCACCTCGGCCACGCCCTGAATGTTTGCGTCCCGCCCCTTTAGCCCCGCCCTTTCCCTGGCCACGCCCCTCCCCGGTTCCAGTCTCTCGCTACGGCGCTCCTCCCTGTTCGCCAGACCCCGCCCTCTGGCCCCGCCTCCTCCTGGCACCCAGCGGGCAAGAAACTTCGGCGCGGCCACGGGCACCATGGGGACGGCCTCGTCGCTGGTGAGCCCCGCTGGCGGGGAGGTGATCGAGGACACGTACGGGGCAGGCGGCGGCGAGGCCTGCGAGATCCCGGTGGAGGTGAAGCCCAAGGCCCGCCTGCTGCGCAACTCGTTCCGCAGGGGCGCGGGAGCCGGGCCGGGGTCGCTGCCTCGAGGGGCGGGGGGAGGCGGGCTGGTGGGCGCCAGCTTCAAGTCCACCGGCTCGTCCGTGCCCGAGCTGGAGTATGCGGCGGCCGAGTTCGAGCGGCTCAAGAAGGAGTACGAGATCTTCCGGGTCAGCAAGAACCAGGAGTTGCTGTCCATGGGCCGCCGAGAGGCCAAGCTGGATACCGAGAACAAGCGGCTGCGGGCGGAGCTGCAGGTAACGCGGGACGCTGCGCGCCGCCCAGCGGGAGGCCCTGGGGAAACTGAGTCGCGGGCTCACAGCTCGGCCGCTTGGTGGCACCACCCTCCTGCCCCAGGTACAAACCAAGTTGTTTTCCAAGTTGGACAGAAGCCGCTCCTTGTTTAGGACGACGTGTTATTTGAGTCTTAACTGATTTCTTACCAGCATCTTCACAGACACCCGCCCCTTTTAGTTTCCGTTTCTCTCGTGTAGATACCCTGAATCAATCAACCCAAGCCCCGAAGCCGCACTGTGGTGAAACTGCACACAACTTCTCCCGGTTTAACCTATCTCCAAGAAGGAGCTCTTTGGCTCAGTTTCTTCGTAACGTTCTGTAGATATAATGCTAGGACAGGCATTTTTCTGGAAACCTCCCGATGTCATCGTCTTTAAGTGTTGTGTTTGAAAACCTTCCTTGAGAGTACTCAGAGTCCCTTAGTCCATTTGGTTGGTGGACTCAACAGTTATTGCCGCGCTATCGTAGGCCTTATAACAGATAGGAGGGAAAGCAAAATTTCTCAGAGCAAAATCCGGGACTACACAGCATGGTCTCAGCCTCTCGGGACTACACAGCATGGTCTCAGCCTCTCGGAGGGTCATGTGTTTAAGCCTTTCTTTTCTGTGGGAAGGATCTCTGACAGCCTGAAAGCTCCAGGGCCTGTATTGAAGTAGGACTCAAATAAACAGATTTTTTAGAGAAGGCTCCTTCATTCTAGTCAGGTATCATCCCAAGAGGTTTTATGAAGTCCTTCATCATCTGTTATGCATATTGGGAGGCCCGAAACACTTGCTTATATAACGTGGACTTGCGTGTTTCTTGTGTCTGACTTCATGTGTGGACACTGAATCATGTGAGTGGGCAGGTGGAAAAGGGCAGGATAAAGAGACCCGTGCAGGGAAGGCTGACATCCACATAGTCACAGAGCACCCCTGTCAGCCATCCCAATTCCCTGTGTAACCCATTGTTCCTTTCTTACCTGCATGATCTTGAGAAAACTCTTTCACATTTATTTCACTCAGCCGTGTTGGCATTTACTGGATCCGGACTGTGAATGGCTGTGTGTGTGTGGGGGGGGGGGGATCAGTAAAATGATTAATAGATAATGCCAAGGAGCACAGAAACTTTCGTCCTAATTATTCTTCAAGCTAAGCCTTACAAATTGCAATTTTGTTCTCTTAAAAACATGAGGCATAGAAAAATTCCAGAGCTGGTAAATTAGTTCAAAGAAGAAGCATTCATTTCTGTTGAAAGCTCACTGCTGAATTAAAACATGTTTGCTTTTTTTTTTTCTATTTTGCTTGAAAAAAAAAAAACAAACCCAATAACATAGAAGTGCTTTATAATTGATGAAATAGCGAGCAGAGTAGTAGAGATCCCAACATAGGTAAACATACGTATAAGCATTTAAAATGCAGGTGAGAGACCGTTTTTGTTAAGAGGTAACAAGATGAATCGTTGCAGGCGCTTCAGAAAACTTACCAGAAGATACTTCGGGAAAAAGAGGGTGCCTTAGAAGCCAAGTACCAAGCCATGGAGAGAGCAGTCACATTTGAACACGACAGAGACAGAGTTAAAAGGCAATTCAAGGTAAATGCCTGGTATTCCCGCCTCTCACCCCACATTAATGTAACACACATTAAAAACTACTTTTTAAGAGCTCGTTTGAGCCAGGTGTGGTGGTGTACACCTTTAAGCCCAGGACTCTAGATGCAGAGGCCGACAGAGTGAAGTCGAGGCCAGCCTGGTCTACACAGTAAGTTCCAGGACAGCCAGAACTGCATAGTGAGAGCCTATCTTTAAAACAACAACAAAAGTTTCATCTGATACCATGTTGAATAAAGATAAATTGAGTAACACCCATGAAGGTCAGAAGAGCTGGGGAAGAAAGCGTTCTGTATTTTCAGTTAGGTAGCACTTATTTCATAAGGAGATTTGAAAGTGGTCGTTTTATTGGAAATATTGAATGATGAGAGGGTGAAATTTTAAGTTTATATCTTTAATTTGTGTGTGTGTGTGTGTGTGTGTGTGTGTGTGTGTGTGTGTGTGAATGCAGCACCTGCAGAGGCCAGAGTTGTAGGATTCCCTTGGAGCTGGTGTTCCAAGTCGTTGTGATCCACCCAACCTGAATGCTAGGAACCAAATGCTGCAAGAGTTTGGGTTTTCTGAGGAAGCAGTCGGTGCTCTTTGCCGCTGTACCATCTTTCCAGCCTCCAGGAATGTGTGTGTGAGGTGAAGCATCTGAACTGTTTGGGGGAGATTCTGTACTGTTATCTGGTGTGAGGAAAACAAACTTGTTATATGTCACACAAGACACGCACCCATGCCGCCAGACTTCCAGCGAGTTCCATTGTGGACAATAAAATAAGGGCCTGGAGACGCCATTCTGTTACAGATGAGGAGACTGGGGATCCCATGGATACTGACTTTATGAATAAATGGTCCCCCCCCCACTGAAGAGTTGGTGGCACAATTTTGTGATTATGAAAAAAAAAAGGTTTCAAAATTAAATTCTACTTCCTGAAAGATTTTTAGGGAGACCAAAGAGAATGAAATTCAGGACTTACTGAGGGCCAAGCGGGAGCTGGAGAGCAAACTTCAGAGGCTGCAGGCTCAGGGTATCCAAGTGTTTGACCCTGGGGAGTCCGACTCAGATGACAGCTGCACAGACGTCACAGGTAAACTCACTTTGTGTTCACGTTGCGCTTTCTGCAGAGCTGCAGTGATGCCCAGAGCCAGCAGCTGCAGCCAGAGCTGCCAGCTCTCTATGCACGGGCTTAAAGTGCCTACTCTACCCTTGCAAACAGTGGAGGGCTTCCGGTGTCCTGCTCAGCTGTCAGGACCTCCCCTCCTTGAAGTGTGTGATACCGGGGGACTAGGCTTTCTCTTGTCATCATATTCTGCCAACTATCCTAGTTCGTGGTATGCCTGTGCGTGCTCTCTCTCTCTCTCTCTCCATCTCTCTCTCTCTGTCTGTCTCTGTCTCTCTCTCCAACACTCCACAACCTACCACCCCCATCCAAGGTAGCTGTTCTAGATCACATCTGCGTTTTCTCCAAAGGGGGAAAAAAAAAGGGAGAGTGTGTGAGTTGCTTTTCTTGTTGCTGTGATAAAATGCCCGGCAGCAAACTACCTAAAGAGGAAGGTCTTGTTTCCGCCCACTGCAAGGATGTCACTGGAGTATGAGGCAGCTGGTCTCGTTGCATTCACAGTTAGAAAACACAGCAAAGATCTGTGCTCAGCTTGCTTCCTCACGTCTATGCTGTTCGGGACCCCCAGCCCCTCGGGTGTGATACAGCCTACGTTTAGGGTGGCTGTTGCTACCTCAGTTAACCTCATCTAGATGGTCCCTCTCAAACATGTCCAGAGGTTTGTCTCTGCAGCGAGTCTAAATCCTGTCACTCGAACAATCAAGATTAACCATACAGGCCTGGCTTCCCCCAGGCCTGATGACCTGAGTTCTCTCCGGGGACCCCCACAAAGTTGCAGGAGAGAACTGACTCCTGAAGCTGCCCTCTGACCTCCACACACACACACAAATTATAGCACCACAGGTACTCACCTTGGTTTTCCTGAAGGCACAACCTGAAATACAGACGCCTCTGTTCAAATGCCCCTGGCGGAAGCCAGACCTAGGAAGACTGGAATGTATATTCAATAGCCAGGCAGACGTGTGCCCAGCTAAAGTGTGAAGAGGGCATGGAGTTATGTTCCACAGATCATCTCCCATTTAGTGATGTATTTGCAACCTTGTATAATACCTGCATTGTGTGTCACTGTTTTCAACGTAAAACCTCCGGGTTTATAGTGAACATATAAAACACTTTTCTAGTAATAATGAAAAGCCTGAAACCACAGAATCGAAGGCATTTTCCGTTCTTCAAGGAAATATTAATCAACTGTGATTAATATGAGAAAACGAGAAAGCTTCTTGTAGGTGTAAGGAGAAGACACTGTGGGACCTCTGTTTATAAGGGTTGTAGTATGGACTTACAGAGTGATGTATCTGGGAGTAAGATATGGCAGCCGGCAGTTCCTTTCTAGTGTTCATTTTATTCCCATTGGATTGTGACTGGCAGCCTGGGACTCTTATCACTCACTTTTGAGGAAAAGATGCGGTGATTCCCACTGGCCAAGAGCAGTTGAGAAAGTGCCTTCTGCTGTCCCATTAGTCTGACTGACTGCTTCCATATTGGCTTTTTCAAATGTACAAGGTATCAAAGCCACTGTGATCGTCTTGCAGGTTAACAGAAACAAGTTAATGCTTTCTTCTTGGTATTTCTCCTTGGTACATTGGTTTAAACCAGAAGGATACAAGTTGTCAGTGCCTCTTGACAGTCTACCTTTAAAGTTCCTTCATAAACTGGGTATGGTGGCATCCGCCATTAATCTCAGCAACAAGGAGGCAGAGGCAGGTAGTTCTCTGTGTTTGAGGCCAGCCTGGTCTACCTAGTAAGTTCCAGGACAGCCAAGGCTAAGTCTCAAGAGAAAAAAAAATTCCTTCTTAATTGATGTGTAAATGTCCAACTACAAGCAGATTTTTAGAATTGTTTGTAGTGTTTTTAAGCTGCCTCATCTTAAATTCTCATCTCACTTATTAATTAATTGATTTTGTGTATATGTGTGTGGGTATTATATGTGTGTGTTGTACTCCAGGTTTTGGACTCAGATCCTCAGGCTTGGTGGCAAGTGTCTTTACATGCTAAGACATCTTGCTGGCCCTAAACTGCCTCTTACTAAAGTCCCTTTGCTTCTTATATTTCTTTTACTTCTTCCTTTTCCTATTTTAATCCTTTTTTTTATTTTGAGATGATAACCAGAATTCCATTAACCAGAATTCCATTAACTGGAACAGAAGTGCTTTGCCAAGGGTCAGTGCCAAAATGTTTTGAAAGCCATCATTTGAATGTGCTTATTGCATTTATAAGTAGTGTATCTTGACCTGAAAACCCCTATCTGACATATGTGATGAGTTTTAAGATATTTGGTAACTCGGTCTTAATGAAATTCCGATTCCTGGTTTATAACAGCTGCCGGAACCCAGTGCGAATACTGGGCCAGCCGAGCCTTGGGAAGCGAGCACTCCATAGGCAGCATGATCCAGCTTCAGCAGTCCTTCAGAGGCCCCGAGTTTGCCCACAGCTCTATAGACGTGGAAGGCCCCTTTGCAAATATCAACCGAGGTAATCAGTCCCTTGCCCAGCAGCTGTGACCACTCATGTCTCGAATCTTGTGCACCAGGGCCTGATATTAGTATTGTGGCACCTTCCGTTGGCAAGCCAGTGTGTACAGGGGCGGTAACTAACCAGGCTGAGGTGAATCGCCACAACATGCTACTCCTGCCATCCTGGCCACCCAGGTGCTAGCAGCTCTGTTAGTCTCCGAACTTGCAGGTGCTTTTGTTGAGCTGCAGGACTATGACATAGCAGAAGTGAGAAGCAAAGTCTTGCTCCTTTGATAGTACTGAAAGAGGGTGTTATAAAGCAAAGTATGAAAAGGCCTGCTAGATCACAAAAGAGTGTGTCTATCATTTTAGTGTTCCTGAGTACCCCCAAAGCTCTGAGATGTTCAGAACTGCAGAATCATTGCAGACCCAAGAGCCTGTGAGGAGCTCCACTCTATTCCTTAAAACAGTGAAATCATCTCACTGGAACAATGCAGAGCATTTTTATAGTGTGTTCTTGATTGTCACATAGTTCACAATTTCCCCTTCCTACTAGATAGCATAAAACTGCTTTTCATTTTACGCTGTTCCTGAGCTCTCTTTTTGCCTCGTTGCATGCAGGAATGAGGAGGAGAAATGAGACATCACCTTGGGAATGCAGGCTCCCTTCAAATAGCAGAACAACTGAGTGGCTCACGTAAAAATAGAATTGGAGCCACTATCCTGGGGATCCATGGCTCTCCAGGGGACACCACTAGTGGCATTCATTGCCTCAAATGCCACAGGAGAACGTGAGGCTAGAAGTTAATTACATTCTTCAAGCTTTGTTGGTTTTAACACATGGCAACAGATTCCAGCCCATGTCTGCTGGGTTTTCTCAGATTTACTTGGAATTCTTCTGCCAATTGTATTCTGGTAAATTGCTCATGGATTTATGGGAATTTTACTTCCAGATGACTGGGACGCTGCTGTGGCTGGTTTGTTGCAGGTCACCCCCTTGCTCTCACTCTCCCTGTGGAGTCACTCAGTCCGATGTTACCTCATCTACACTGACGAAACCCAGCCTGAAATGGAACTTTTCCTCAAGGTGAGAATAGTCATAAATTGTGTATTGACTCATTGAAACTACAAAATCTGGGGCTGGAGAGATGGCTCAAGAGCTAAGAGCTCTGGCTGCTGTTGCAGAGGACCCGGGCTTGTTTCCCAGCACCCACATAGTAGCTCACAACCGGCTGCAATTCCTGTTCCAGGGAGTTGGATGCCCTCTTCTGTCCTCCGTGGGCACCAGGCATGCAGACAGTACATATCCACACGTGCAAGCAAAACACCCATGTGCATAAAAAAAAAACTTAAAAAAAAGATAGAGAAGCTGGGGCGGTGGCAGTCTCAGCACTCAGGAGACGGAGGCAGAAGGGTTACAGTTCGAGGCTAGCCTCGACTACATAGTGAGAGCCCATCTCAAAACGAACAAAATACAAATTAACATTACATTCAGACTGTAACTGACTTAAGTAAGTAGCTTGACACTGTGCAACTATCCAGCTTAAAGTACCGAACGTCCTGGGCTTGCTTGTGATGCAGTTCGAGTGAGTATTCACATGCGTGAAGATCGACATTATGCTAAGACTCCTAGTTTTTGTTTAACTTTCTGCTAAAACAGGGACAGGAGCTAAGGCATGAAGATGAAACTAAGAGGTTAGACCTAAAACACATCATTAAGATGCCACTGTCTTAGGGGCTCATGCCTGTAATGCCAGCATTCGGGAGGCAGAGACAGGTGATGTCTGTGAGTTGGAGGCCAGCCTGGTCTACACAGCAAGTTCCACAACAGGGCTGTTATACACAGAAACCCTGTCCTGAAAAACAAAACAAGCAAACAAAAGCCAATGTCTTAATGTCTTAACTTTTAGTAGAAACTATAGTTAAAAATTTACGTAGTAAAATGGCCTTTTCGTATTAAGTATTCTCCACAGTATTTGAGCCCTTCTTTGACTATGTCTGATTTACTTTAAATCTGTTTTAGATAATATCAAAGTTCAATCCTTATCACGACTTTGAACTTCTCAAGGCATCCCGTGGGCATACTCTAAAGTAGAGTTCAGCTACAGCCTGTGGCCACTCCTGGCTTACTACCTGGTTTCATGTAGCCCAGAGCTAAGATTTGCTTTTGTATTTGAAATTACTGGAAAGAAGAAATATAAGAAGACTGTTTCATTATGTGAAAACTATATGAAATCCATACTTTATTATCTTTTTTAAAAAGTGTTATTGGAACACCTCCAAATCTGTGTGTATGTGTGTGACTATGTATGTGTGTGTGAGAGTGAGAGAGAGAGAGAGCAATTGATCTATAGCTGAAGTACTGAAGGAGTTAATTGGGACGAAAACTGAAGACATTGAAAAAGTCCCCGCTATAACATGAATTATTAAACATTATTAATTTTGTAAAAATATTTGCCACCTGAACTTTTGAAGGAGAAATCTGTCTGCTACCGTCGCAAGTGAACTTTAAATGCATCTGCCCCAGGATAAACCTGCTGCATTCATAGTCTACAGATTGTTACCAGATTTATTTAACGTTATTCTGTGATATTACTCAATCTTGGTGAAATCATAGAATATTTTAAATCTCAAAGCTTCCATCTGTAAATTAGATGTAGATTACTCCCAAGGACAGCTGGAGACTTCTAACTAATTGCTAGCATAAAAATCATTATTTAGTAATATTCTTTATCATAGACCAATATTTTTTTCATTAAGCATTTTAAATTTTTTATGTTTCTGGAAATGAAATCTAGGGGTTTTCATATGCCAGGCAAGCCTGCTATCATGGAAACTACATTTCCTAGCTAAAGTACCATATTTCACACACACACACACACACACACACACACACACACACACACACACAGAGAGAGAGAGAGAGAGAGAGAGAGGGAGAGAAACAGAGAGACAGAGAGATTTACATTTGGATCCTTTAAAACAAGAAAAGAAATTATAAAACTAACCTAATACTATCTTCTGTTGTTTGGTTATAAAATAAGTAATTTTCTGAGCTAGAAAATAACCATTTTGTTAAGCTATTATTTTTTTTCTAGAAAGAAATTTACTTTTGCTCTATAAGATTTTTTTAAAATGTGATTATTTTGATTTTTTGTATTAGAATACAGCTTATAGAGGCTGTTCTAAAGTATGCCTCTTGAAGGTGATTAATCCTCATTTAGAAAGACAAATGGGATGTGCATTGAACTTATGACAGGAGTCTACCACAAAAGGCATCTGAAAGACTCTACCTAGCAGTGTTTCAAAGCAGACACTAAGACTCATAACCAAACCCTCGGCAGAGTGCAGGGAATCATATGAAAGAAGGGAAGTTAGTATGATATGGAAAGGATAGGAGCTCTACAAGGACCAAATATATCTGGGCACAGGGTCTTTTCTGAGACTGACACTCAACCAAAGACCATCTATGGATATAACCTAGAACTTCTGCTCGGATGTGGCCCGTGGTAGCTCAGTAACCAAGTAGTTTTCCAAAGTAAGGGGAACACGGACTATTTCTAACAGGATCTCAAGGGCAGGCTGTTTGACCCCCCCCCCCCCAGGGGAGGAGCAGTCTGTTAGGCCACAGAGGAGGACTTTGCAGCCAGCCCTGAAGATACCTGATAAAATAGGGTCAGATGAAAGGGGAGGAGGTCCTCCCCTATCAGTGGACTTGGAAAGGGGCAGGGAGGAGACCAGGGAGGGAGTGTGGGGTTGGGGAGGGAATGAGGGAGCGGGATACAGCTGGGACACAGAGTTAACAAAATGTAACTAAAAAGAAAAATAAAATTAAAAAAAATGTAAAAAAAATCAAAATGAATTTTAAAATTTTATTTATAAAAAAATAAATAAAATCTGATTAATGTTAAAAAAATAAATAAAGTATGCCTCTTAAGTGATAAGATTCTCTATACACCTAAAAATATACCATTTATATATTTTAATTCATTTTTAGGACCATTCACCTAAACTTAAAAGAATGTGCGAGACAATGGGATATTTTTTCCATGCTGTTTATTTTCCAATAGATGTTGAAAATCAGTACCTCACGATAAGGAAATGGGAAATTGAGAAGAGTTCTTTAGTTATTTTATTCCTTCACTCAACATTGCCAAGGTAAGCCAAAAAAAAAAATCTCTAATTTATATTCGCACTAGCTGTAACTAATGTGAACTTCAAGATAAAGTCTAATTCCATTCTCATAGTCAAAAACAGTGTGTGAAATCTAATAAACTTTATAATGCCTCACACTCAAATAAAAAAATGTAAAGTTTATACCATTAGAGCTACCAGGATCATTAATATAAGGACTGTTTAATCGGCAGTTGATAAATCGTGGCCCCGGGCCAAATGCTGTTAGATAGCAGCTTCTGTCAGTAAGGTTTTTTTTTTCTTTTTTTTTTTTTTGTTTTTTTTGTTTTTACAAGCCATGAAAACATCTCTTTTATTTATTTGAATGAACTTATCACCCCATTTCTTGATATAACAGATGAAGACAAAAATCACCAAGGCAATCTATCGAAACAAAGTCATTCGGTATTTATGACTTAAAACAGTGGTGCCCTTTTTAAATGTGAAGATTAGGTATCTGCTTGAATAGATGAATACAATTTCTAACCTTACCAATTTTGGCAATAATTATGATCTAACAATTAAGTTGACAAATGTTCCACTTTAACTTGTTGAATATGAAAACCTCTAGGATGCAAAAAATTTTTCCCTTACTGCACAAGATTATATTGCTGCTACCATGGTGTTTTTTTCTGGTTTTTCAAAAATCCTTTCACTTTTTCTTTTTCTTTTCTTTTCTTTTATTTATTTATTTTTTAATTTATTTTTTTTTATTAATTACACTTTATTCACTTTGTATTGTCAGTAAATTTTATTGGAACACAGTTATATTCATTGATTTGCGTGATTTTTTTTTTTTTTTAGCATCTGCTTTCATACTATAACAGTACCTTTGTGAAGTATTTACATCAGAAACCCTATGTTCTACATAGCCCAAAATGTTCATTGTCTGACTTTACAGAGTAAAGCTGGCGGCTTCTCATTTCAGTCCACAGTAACCCATACTGCCTTCTCTCTTTGGATACAATTTGAGAGACGTGCAGTTTCAACGTGAATGTAACCATGTTGATGAATCTTACCTATGAGGTTTTTGTAATCAGTCCAATACAGATGGTGTAGATATAGATAAAAGACAAAATGGGCCTCACGGGAAGTTATCCGCGCTATCCAGACGTGCTGACTGGAGTAAGCCGTGCAGGGCATTAGCTGTCTTTGAGGATTGCAAGTTGCAGACTGTCCCAGGCAACTTAGCAAGATCCTGCCTCAAAATGAGAAATCAAGGGCTAGAGGTTTGTAGCCCAGCTGGGAGGGGGCATTCCTAGCCTGCACAAGATTCTGGGATCAGCCCCCAGCACCACACAAAAACGGGCATGGTCATGCGTGCCAGTAACTCCGGCATTCAGAAGGCGGAGGGAGGCCGAAAGGAAGGAGAGAGCAAGGATAAAGCCCAATGGTAGAGTAATTGTCTAGTGTTCACGAAGCCTTAGATTGAATGCCCATTTACACACACACACACACACACACACACACACACACACACACACACACTCATACTCATTCACACACCACACACAAACACGCCACACTCATATACATAGTGCAGCACACACATACACACTCACACCAGTCACACCCACCACATACTTATTCACACACACCACACTCACTCACACACACCCATGAGGAGGAAGAAGAACGGAAGGGCCCGCAGACTGGCTAGGGGCGACATGAGCAGAGCGAGCAGAGCCTTCCTCGAGTGTGTCTGCAGTGCCCTTGAACTGCTTGGCTTCAGCGGAGTCTCCTTTGTCTGCTCTCCTCGCTTTAGTCTTTATTAAGAATCTATCATACGTAATACCTAATGTTTGGGTCGTATCTGTATCTTATGTTCCTTGGTAATATATGCCTTGCGTTGTTAAATGAGCTTTCAATTCTTATTTTTACCCTTGGAGGCCACCTTGCTTTTTTCTTTTTCTTCAAGAGATTCATTTGGTGATAATATGCTATTCATTATCTTTGTGCTTTGAACATTTATTTTTTTTTAATCTTCCTAATTTTAAACTTGAGTTTCCTCTCCCACTTGTTTTCCATTATTTGTTATCTACCTTAACAAATTGTTTGAATTTTTTTAAAAAAATTATTCAGAATTTTAATTTCTCACATTTCTGTTTTGGCCCTATTGTGCTTGAATTTGTCTTAACTTAATTGCATTCTTTTCATCATTCATTTCTTGTTAGGCTTCTAAAAATTATGGCTGTGGTTTCCTATAGCAAGGTTCTTTTTTTATTTTTATTTTTTTAACCTTTACCACGGTTTAGCCATGGGTTTCGCTAGCCATTTGGGAGGCCCTATTGACCTACCAGGTGTTTTCCTGTAGTAGACTCTGAATATAAGGATTCAGAACGTGAAATAAGAAAGGGCTAGAGAAGGGAAGTCTCTTGAAGTTTTAGGGCTGGTGATATTTGTATTTTAATTTAGAAAGTATGTATTTGAAATGGAATCTGTTTTTCATTTACTTTCAAAGTTTCATGAGCTTAGTTCATTATTTCCAGCTATGGAGAGTGTTTTTGAGAATTTGTATGTTTAAAATGAATCAATTACGAAAGCTCTATAGCTTAAGGCATGATTTATGTGTCTTATTCTCACCGGCTAATGAGCATACTGTATTTGTAAGACTGTGTTACAATGGTACTATAAAAATGACCCAGTTTGGGAACTGGAAAGATGGCTCAGTAGGTGAAGTGTTTGCTGTACACCCATGAGGACCTGAGTTTGAATCCCTGAACCTACATAGAAGTTGATAGTGCTATGAATATCAGTAATTTCAGCACAGGGGAGGGAGAGAGAGAAAGAAAGATCCCTAGGGCTGTGGTCATCCAGGCCAGCTGACTCAGTGAATTCAAGGTTCACTGGAGAGTGACTGGACAAGACATTTGACACTGACCTCTGGGCACACAGGCACATGGCACTGTGCGCACACGCAAACACACACGTGTTTTTGGAAAGCTTTTCTTCCTCCGTAGCTGGGCCCTTGTCACTGTGGTAAATCCCATTTGGGCACTTAGGCCGGTCACCCAAGTATCTGCTGCCGCAGTGCCATGTAGCCCATGAAATGGCAATTTCCAATCTAGCTTTTTACTGGAAGACTGTGAGGAAGCCTTTCTGCAAAACCCAGAAGGAAAACCGCGATTAATCTACCATCGGTTGGAGGATGGGGAAGGCACTTCCGACTCTGTCCAGCAGTTACTGGATCAAGTTTCTAACCTAAGCAAGACCACCAAAGCCAAGGTAAGACACAGGATATGTCAGAGGGTGTGCATGGCAGAGATAAAGCCAGATCCAGGTGGGATGGGGAAGGAAACCAGGTGTCTAGAGAGAAGGGACACACAAAAGGGATGACCTAATTAGATCAATCCTGAAAAGCCTCAGAGGTTGTTTTTAAGACATAGGCTTTTCCTTTGGAGTGGGGCTGGGAAGGATGGGTTGGTTTTGGGCAGCATGGCGGAACCCGGTGTGGACCTCTTGTCAGTGACTTCCTTGGTGTTATATGAGGAATAGAGTCGTTTGGAGGGTAGGAAGAAGTCTGAGATCTGGTGCTGCCATCTAGATGAGAGCTGCAGGGGCTCCCAACTGGAGGGTGATAGACAGGCTGAGACAACCCCCGCCACACACACACACGAAAAAAAGTATACATTGTTCACACTGAATCTCTGTGTGACCTCAGACAAAGTAGTTAACTTGCCTCTGTTTCCTCTTTTAAGCAAGGTTAAAGTATATCTTTCTTGTAAGGTGCTTTCTAGGATAAAAGAGGTAAAGTGTTAAAAGCCTTGAAGCAGCAGCCGCTGCCGCCTCTGCCTCCTCCTCCTCCTCCTCTTCCTCCTCTTCCTCCTCCTCCTCTTCCTCTTCCTGCAGCTGCTGCTATGTTTCCTTATTACCATCAAACCCTCTTTTTCCCTTAGATCATCCACCACTCAGGAGATCCTGTGGAGGGAGTGTATAAAGTTTACATGGGTGTAGAAAAGATCATTAAGCAGGTAAATATGCTTTCCTCTGTAAGTTTTCATCTAAAATAGTTTAATAGTATTTTTTTAAAGAATTTTCTAGACAAAACTACTTGTGTGTCGTTTTTGAGAACAGGAGATTTCTATGGTTCTGTTGGGAGCTGGTCCAGGGGTGAGACCCTGATATTGTCAGAATCTGCCTCCCAGAGCCAGCTGTGCTTCAACACCTGTCAGGTGTAAAATGTATCACAAACAGGAAAATCCAGAGGAGGCATTTGAAAACACATGTGCATTTTATTCCAAAGAGAAGTTTATGTTCTTTGTGTACTTTTCTTAAAAACGTATTTGAGATGTCACCCACCTTGCTATCTCTAACAGCAGCAGAGAGGCAGGAGCACCCTTCAGGGAACAGGAACACGGTCCGTGGAGGCATCTGGAGCTGGAAATTTTCTTGAAATCTTACGTACTTTTTTAAGCATATGTTTTCTATAGCTTGTTGGTATTATAACTGAGATTATTTTTCATTCAAAAAAAATTTCAGAATTGTGTCAGCAAAAATACAAATAGATAATAGCAAAAGATGGAGATCACCCTTATCTCCAAGTAAAATGAGCAGGGTAGGAAGGTGTGCCATGCTTAACCTGAGGGTGCCTATGTTTCCCCAGGAGCCAGAGACCTTTTCCAAGAAGGAAGGAGTTGCATCACCTTTTGTTTTGTTTGGGTTTTGTTTTGTTTTTGTTTTTTGTACCAGAGATTCCTCTAGCTCTGGCTGTCCTGGAACTGATTTGAAGACTAGGATGGCCTCGAACTCACAGATCTGACCACCTGTGCCTCCTGAGTACTGTGATTAAAGGCATGGCCACAACACAACCCCCATTTTCTACTTACATTGGCTTGCAAATATAAAGACTTGTCATCAGAAAACATGATAGAGAGACACTTGCCAGCACATTTGCATGCCCTGCTCCAGTACAAAGATCGCCCGGATGATTCTGAGCTTTTCAATCTTACAATTTTAGGACCGAAATAAGTAAGATGAATGGAGGAAAATGAAATAAGCCATATTATCATCAATGTATTTTCAGGGATCCAATATAGCGACTAAATGGGACAGCAGAGAGCCTTGGTATCAGGAAACTCCATCTAAAAACGGGCAGTGGTGGTATACACCTTTAATCCCAGCACTCAGGAGGCAGAAGCAGCTGGATCTCTGAGTTCGAGGACAGCCAGGGCTACACAGAGAAACGCTGTCTTGAAAAACCAAAAGAAAAAAAAGAAAAAAAACTTCATTTTAGTAATTGGACTTGATGCCATATCTCTTGGGCATTAGTGCAGCCTTTGAAGTCCTCCACTAGTGGGGCTGAAGGAATAGAGACAGCTCAGTCTCTAGGACACTTCCCTCGTAAGCGTAAGGACCTGATTAGGAGTCCAAGCACATGCTTAAAAACACCAGGCATGATGGTGTGTGCTTGTAATGCCAGCACTGGGGAAGGAGAGACAGGAGGACCCCCTTAGGCTCACTAGTCAAACCCAGTCAGTGAGCCAGTGAGAGACCCTGTCTCAAAGGACATAAGCAGTCCTGGGGACAACACCCAAAGCGGTCCTCCTTCATCCCTACTCATGCACACACGCACACATACGCACACTTTTTAAAAAGTGATTCCCTAGCCAGATATAATTACAGCTATCATATAGAATTTTCCGGAGAACAGATCCCCAAAACACCCTGATTTTACTTTAGTTGAGAGGAACGCTTTATGTTTTAGTATTTTCATTTTATACTAGGATTCTTATGGTTACAAATCTATTGTTAGAGATACTTATAGTAACTCTTATTTTTATAAGCTGAAGTCTGGGCCTGTGTCCCTCAGTAGCTAAGGCCCTGCCAGCTGGCCCCAGCTTTCAAGTCTCCGATTTTTGCTTCCTTTCCTGTACTTGTTATTTGCACTCAGGACATCCTTGGCCTCGAGAACACAGAGGTGGAGGTGAAGGATGGGGGCAGCGAGGATTCCACTCCCGAAGAAGATGATTTTGGGGATGTTCTATGGGACATACATGACGAGCAAGAGCAGATGGAAACGTTTCAGCAGGCCGCTAACTCAGCCTACGAACTGGGATTCGAGAAGGTGAGCTTCTGAGCCCTCTGCCCAGGGGAGATCAGCGGCTGGGTTGGGGAGATGGCACGGCTGGCAAAATTCTTGTCGCCTAAGCGTGGTGACCAAGTTCAGATCGTCAGCACCCATGTCAGAAGAAGAGTGGAGGCTTACTTCTGTAACACCCCACCCCCACCCTTGTTCGTGGGGAGGGGGAGGCACAGGCAGATCCCTGGAGCTCATTGGAGAGTGAGCCTAGCCAATCAGTGAACCTGCGCTAAAGGAGAGACCCTGTCTCAAAAAAATAAGGTGGAAAGCGATAGCAGAAGACGCCTGATAGGAGCATCCAGCCTCCACCTGCAATTGCACACACACACACACACACACACACACACACACACACACACACTTAAAAATAATGAAAAAATAAGTTACCACTTAAAGGCTGTCATATTCGGGTTCGTGACTGTTGCCTGCTCTCAAGGCTGGATGACCCATGTTGAGATGTCTTTAGATTTGTACCCTAGGAAGACTATGTGATGTTGACATATATTTGTGAACACCAATTATTTTCATAGATGATGGAGTCATCGGCCATGCACCTGTTATGCTGCCACCAGCAGCTCACCCAGATCAGGCTGGGAAATGTAGTAAGGCCCGGCTGTCAGTTCTTCCCAACTGTTAAAAGAATTAAAATGACAAACATTCTGGTAGTTCACCCAATAGGTAGATCATCCATTCAGTTTTGGTCCAATCAGTGTCTATAAACATCTAAACTAATTAACAACCTGACATCCACTAAGAAATATACATGTCCAAGTTAAAAAAAAAGTATGTAAACTAATGTACAAACCAGTTTTAAAATGTGTATGACCTTATGTATGGGAAGAGGAGAAGTGACAGGGGAGGGAGGGGTCCTTTAACGGGCTGAGCCATCTCAGTCTGAGCCCACATATTAATTTCTGAAGACTATCACAGTAGTTAACATAAGCTGCTGCATTTTTGTAGCACCCTTAGAATTTAGACTGTGTTTATTTCTTGATTCTGCCAAATCTCTTGACCACTCGAAACTTGACCTTTTTATCCGTAAACTCAGAGAAGCTAGTGTCACTTCAGCCAGATGGCATCGCTGGCATGGCATTAATTTTTATTTTAAGTAGCAGTTGTTTTAAGAGAGGTACTGATTTTATAGTACAGAAGAAGAAACTGAAGTCTGCCACATTTTCCCATGAACACACATGGAATACATTTGAACCGTGGTCCACATCTGAGGCTTTTTCCTTTGCACCAAGATACCCCAGCTGGGGGATCGTAGATCTTCAAGTGGGTTTTCTGCGGAACCATGAACCATCAGGATCTATAGGGCAGTAAGTCAGCAAAGGCCTCCCCCTCTTCCTTCAGACACAAGCCTGCTATGGGAACCACTGGGGTTCCTTGGCAGTTGACTCATGCCTAAATATGACAAGCAGAACAAACTGAAAGACTACTCCAAGGATGGAAAGTTTCTTGCGGCTGGAGATTTTACTGCCATGAAGCCAGCCTAAAACCCACCCACCATAAGCTAGTAAAAACCTCATCAGCAATCATCTGGCTGTTTATGGACACAACAATGGCTCTGGATATGCTTAGGAAATATTGTGATCTTTTACCTTTACGAGCATGGCCTTCCAGGTCTGGGCTGGTTTTGTGTAGCTAGAGAAAGCCTGGAAAGGATGGATTCTTAGACTTTGGGTAGAGCTCAGTTTTGTGAAGGTCTAAGGTAGCCTGCCTGAGCCTGGGACTTGGGTAGGGGAGAGAAGCCTGCTTTTATTCGGACCCATTCTTAGTAATCGCTAGAAACCAAGGCAGACTCTGGAACTCCATGTTCACTCTTCTGATCAGGAAATCTAGGGTCTCTGTCTGGGTCCACACGGCCTTCTGAGATACTTCTTGTGGTCGGTGGGCTCCAGTGCGATGTGATGTCCTCCTTGTGGTATTTCACCAAGCATCTGGATGTTGCAAAAACCCACTAAAATCCAGGCTGCCCCTCATACTCTCAGTTCTAGCAGTGCCGTGGGCCCCTTTCCTGCCTCCTGAGCCAGTGAATACAGACCAGCTCCTCTGCAGATGCTGCTGGCCAGCAGCAAGTTTTTGTTTTTGTTTTTTCCTCACACACTTCCTGTAGTGTTTCCAGAGACTGATCAGAAGTTGGGCATCTCAGCTTCTCAGGGGCATATGGGTGTTATGATATAAATCTGGTTGTTTATCTGTTTCCAGTATTACCAGCGTCTGGACGATCTGGTGGTGGCTCCAGCCCCGATCCCACCCCTCCTGGTCTCTGGAGGACCAGGTTCTGGAAAGTCCCTTCTTTTATCAAAGTGGTATGATGCGATGCAATTAAACCATTCTTCTCACTGTTCTGTTTGGTTAGTTGGTTGGGTTTTTTTTTTTTTTAAGAGACGGGGTCACCTATGTAGTAAAAACTGGCCTGGTTTCATTCTCACTATGTACAACTAAAGATAACCTTGAACTACTGATCTTCCTACATCCGCTTCCTCTAATGGCATGCTTTTAGTTAAAAGTGGATGTTTATTTTATTAACATTTTTGTTAGTTAACAGCAACTTGTAATTAAAGGGGGCTATTAGTTTAAAAGGTTCCTAAAAAGTAGAGTGAGCTCAATCATCTCCTTCCTTGTCCTGTTGTGACTAGCCATGGAATTAAGGACTCTGGGGAAATGCTTGCTGTCTAGGTGTATTTGTGGATGTGGACAGTAGGGGACCTCTGTCAGCTTTAACAAAAATCCTGTGTTTTCCCCCTAGGATTCGGCTGCAGCAGAAGCATTTCCCCAACACACTGATCCTGTCTCATTTTGTGGGGCGGCCCATGTCAACCAGCGCAGAGTCCTCCCTGATCATCAAGCGGCTCACTCTGAAGGTACGATGGGCTCGCTCTGGAGCTCTCTGGATGTTGTGGCAGGTTATGAAACTCTTGAAACTAAGTTAATAATAATAACGAGACTTTCAGTATCGTAGGTAGGAAATCACTAATTTGAAATCTGAACTTTCTGAAAGCAGTGAAGATTGAGCATTGGGCCTTGTGAGTGCGAGGCCAGCATTCTGCCACTGAGCTACAGTCCCGCTAAACTCTGAAAGCCTTTCTATTGAGCATGACATGACAACTCATGTGAAAATTCCATGTCTAACTCATAGGACATAGCACAGTTAAAACACTGGCTCAGGCTACTTGTAAAGGGCATATATGAAATGTAGGTGAGTCTCATCTTTAGACTTCAGCCCTGTTCCCAAGATCACTCAATTACATATGTGAATATTTCCCAGATCCCCCAAATCTGAAATCTGAAACACCTCTAGTGCCAAACATCTTGCATGAGGCATACTCAACCTATGACAAGTTATTCTGGTTTTTATAAGGATTTAAAAAAATAGTACTCGGGGCTGGAGAGATGGCCCAGCGGTTAAGAGCACTGGCTGCTCTTGCAAAGGACCCGGGTTTGGTTGCCAACACCCACCTGGCAGCTCACAACCACCTGTAACTCCAGTCCCCGGAGATTTGACACCCTCTTCTGGTCTCCGCGAGCGCTGCATGCACACGGCACACACGCATACACGCAGGCAACATACTCGCACACATAAGAGTAAATAAATCTTTAACGGTATACAGGGCTTACAGGCAGCAAAGAAGACCCAGTGGGTAACGCGCTTGTTGTGCAAGCGTGAGGCCTGAGTTTGTGTCCCCAGCACCAACGTAAACACTCAGGCATGGCAGCACGCTTGTCTGGTAACCACAGCATGACGGAATGGACAGAGGCAGGAGGATCGTGGGACTTTCTGGCCACTAGCCTAGCCAGTTAGTGAACCCCAGGTTCAGTGAGAGACCTCGTCTGAAAAGGTAAGGTGGAAAAGCAGTTAAGGAAGACACCCAGCATCACCCTGAGGCCCTCACATGTGGACACACACACACACACACACACACACTAGTACTTGAACAACCATGGAGGGGAGTCAATGCTGCTGCACACAGTGAGGATGGAAAGGTCTCCCTGCTACCGTGGAGATCCTCTGATTTACTTTACACGTGGTGTCCCTGTGTCTCTCTGCAGCTGATGCAGCACTTCTGGGCAGTTTCTGCACTGACTCTGGACCCTGCTAAGCTTCTGGAAGAATTCCCACACTGGTTGGAGAAGCTCTCTGCTCGGCATCCGGGCAGCATCATCATCATCATCGACTCCGTAGATCAAGTCCAGGTGCCGCTCTCACTCTGTGTTCTATTAGCAGACACCCTAGGAGACCAGAATGCCAGCAATGCTGCAGCAGGCATCTCTGTCTGAGCTTCCGGGGAGGGGATGATGCTGGTCCATTTCTGGGGAAGAAGCGTCTGAATTAAGGAAAGAAGGGAGGAAGGGGGGAAGGAGGGAAGGAGGAAAAGAAAGAAAAAGGAAAGAAAGAAGGAAAGACTGTATGCTCACAGACATCAAGTAAGTCTACATTCTGAGCACAAAGTATTTATTTGATTTCTATTTTTTCTGAGATAGGGTTTCTCTGTTTACCTTCAGCTAAACTGGAACTTGCTCTGTGAACCAGGCTAGCTTTGAACTCAGAGATCCACATGCCTCTGCCTCCCAAGTGCTGGGATAAAAGGTGTGTGCCACCACCACCCAGCCCTATTTTGACATATTTTTAAGGCATGGACATTTTCTTAAATGTCCAGAATTCAAATATGGTGATAACAGTGTTTTGCCAACCACGGGAAAAAAAAACATTCCCAAATGAGGGTTGTATCCTTAATAATAAGGAAAGCATAATGAGACTTGTATCCTATGGGAGAGCTAGGAGGATTCTTTGGAAATGCTGTTATTGTAAGCTGACTTCTGCCGTGTGTTCTTAAGCAAGCGGAGAAGCACATGAAGTGGCTGATTGACCCCCTGCCTGTGAATGTCAGGGTCATTGTTTCTGTGAATGTGGAGACCTGTCCCGCAGCGTGGAGGTATGGCCAAACCCAGCACTTTCCGAATGGGGTGGGCGGACAAGGAAAGGGTCCTGATGCGTTTCTGTGGTTTCATATAAACGGCAGTGAGGCTGGGAAGAAGTGGATGACCTCAAGGAGAAGACGCCCTTTGTAAAATCTGGAGAGAGGTTAGAGCTGGGGTAGAAGGGAAGAGGAGAAAATGGAAATGGCTGTAAATTGTCAGAACCAAGAAAGGAAGCTAGTTGTAACTTCCTGGGCTGAGAAAGGAAACGCAGAATGGGCAGGCGTGGTGTGGGGGGAGCGAGTAGGTTGACTCTTGGGACAGTTTAGTTTGAATTGCAAATTGTAGATCCAAGTAATGATGTCTAGTAGGCAGGTGAGTTGGTGGGTGAGCAAAAATGGAGAGGGGCGGCCTGGGAATTACAGTCTAGATACCTGTTATCTAGAATGCAGGCTCGCTTTTATTGACAGCCCTCAGAAAAGTGACCTAAGGCTTGCATCTGGAGGGCAGTATTCCTTAGCCTATTTATTTTTACCCAGGAAAGTCCTTGTAGTACTTTCTTCTACAAGAAAACCTTTCTTCCCCGAATCGTGCCTCCTTAAGAAACTTGAGTGCTGTGTTTGTACACTGTATGTCGGTGTGCATCAGCAAACAGATATATGTGTATATTTGTGCTTTGTATATAAGCATAAGATTGTCTCTATCTCGTCAGTTGTCCTGTAGAGCAGAGACCATCTTGATCTGCTCCTCCTAAGCACCGAGGACTCCTAAGCCGATGTCTATTTTTATGGCAATGCTGAATGTAGGGCTAACGGTGTTTCTCCGCCTCACTAACATACGTGGCCTGTGATCTTCTGTGTTGTTTATCATCAGATGTAATTATAAACCGTAAACAAATTAAATAATGACTTAATGTGATGAACAATTCCATATGTTTATTTTATAAAGGCTGTGAAAATTACTCGTGTAATGTTAAAAATGTGTTTCCTTCTGTCCTCTTTGAACAAAAGGTTGTGGCCTACACTGCATCTCGATCCTCTAAGCCCCCAAGATGCAAAATCCCTCATAATCTCAGAATGCCGCTCTGCAGACGTGACGCTGAGTACAGAGCAGGTGAGCATTCCCACTCCGGATGTGCTTTCTCTGGATGTGACCCCACATCCTCAGGCTTGTGCAGCCAGCTCTTTATCCACTGAGCTACCTCCCCAGACACCTCCGTCCTGTCTTTCATGACAGATACAGAAGAAGCAATGCAAATATTTTGGCCTTGAGGAATAGTATATAGTATTAAGTAGGGATTCTTTAAAATTGGAAAGTGGCTTTATATTGGATGCATCTTCCTTCTGCAGCTAAAAGTCTGTCTGTAGCCAGGCTTCCGCCACTACCCCGGTGACACCACTGATAGGGACAGTTTCTTTGGATGGGGTTCTGTGGCTGGCTCAGGAGTACTGGCCCCAGCCTACTTCTCTTACTTTCGCTTTGTTTTGTTCGGAAACTGGTGTAGGAAAAGAAAGTAGAACAGCACTGCCGTCCCGCCACAACCCGCAACGCCCTCTACGCCACGCTTTTCAGCAAAATGATGGCATGGTAAGTGCTCCCCCGCCCTGGTGTTCTGCTGGGAGTTCATCCTGGCCTCGCTGCAGTCCAGTTTCTCAGCAAAGTGAGGGCTGCTTGGACTAGTCTCACGGGCGGGCGTCAGAGTTCTCCCTATTCTAATGTGACACTAACACCCGCTCGGGAGAATGTGACTTACTTTTGAAGAGTCATCAGAATGGATCTCTCATTGTCTCTGTTCTTACATCTAGTCATAAATGTCTCCTTTCCATATCAGTCATCGATCCGCCGTTCATAAACATTTGATCCGCCGTTCATAAGCATTTGATCCTTGGGCTTTGGTTTCTTCGGCCTCCCTCTACACTGTCCTCGGTCAGACCCCAAATCTAACATTCTTGCCTTTAATTTTATGTTTTTGATCTTAGTCATTCTGACAGGTGTAAGATGGACTCAAAGTAGTTCTGATTTGCATCTCCCTGATGGCTTAAGATGCTGAGCATTCCTTTAAGTGTTTCTCAGCCATTTGACTTTCCTCTGAGAATTCTGTTTGGATCTTTACCCGCCCCCCTTTTATTTTTTTAGATTGGGCTATTTGGCTTATTGACGTCAAGTTTCTGCAAGAATCTATTTTAAGAGAGACTGTGGGCCATTTTTGTATTTAAAAAAAAAAAAACTTTTGGGTGGGTGGAATTTGCTTTTGCAGTGCTTGAGACTGGACCCAGGCTACGCCAGGGCATGCACTCTGCTCCTAGGCTACATGCCAGCTTTATCTAATGTACGTGAATGTGTGTGTTTATCACCTATGTTTACTCGGTTTATTTATTTTGCAGCACTTAGGCCTGAACCTAGAACCCTACGCATGCTAGGCAAATGTCCTACCCCTGAGACGAGGTCTCACTAAGCTGTAAGGCCAACCTTAAACTCACTCTGAACCCTAGGCAAGTCTTAAACTTGGGGTGTTCCTGCCTTGGCCCCCACCATACCTGGGGTTACACTTGTACCACCAGCCCTGGCTTGTTTACTGAATTTCTTCAGTTTACCATGGTCTCAAAATCCTGCTCCGTACAATTTCGGTATGCAGGGCTAATGGTGCTTATGCTGTTCTCTGCATCGTGCCGGAGGTGGCTGGAGGGTAAGAGCCAACCCTTACTACTCATTTTTATGTTCCATGGTGAACACTAATTGCTTGACATAAATTGACTCTCAGCACGTGTTCACTGGAATGAGTTAAATGGTATCATAAAATAAACCAAATGACTCCAGCAGCCCCAGAAAAACTATCATTTTTCTGTATTTTTATTGAATTCCCATTACGGAATTGTGGCGTAAAATAGAGGCCACTGTTTTTCTGTGCCCCCGATTCTTCACAGATATTGGCAGTCCATATGAAATCCAGTCTGTTCTCAATTCCCACAGGGCCGGGAGAGCAGGCAACGTGGAGGAAGCCCTTCATCAGTGTCTGCAGTGTCAAGACACAATCTCACTGTACAGACTCATTCTCCGCACCGTCAGGGAGGCGATGCCAAGTGATGTGGATAAAGAGCTCATGACCCAGGTGAAGCGCAGTGAGCCCGCAGAAAGACGGCCTGGGGCCTTGAGTGGAGAGCTGTGAAAGGAAGTCAATCATTTTCTGTTTGAGTTTAAATGCCCTGCAGGTGTGCATAGGAGGCTAGAGCCAGTGCTCACTACCAGTCTTCCTGGTTATCACTGAGAATTCTCTTCTAGTGGTTATTTAGTATCCTGTTTCTTGTGTGTTGTAAGACAGGGTCTTGCTCTACAGCCCCGCCTGCCCTGGATCCGAGGCTGGTCTCAAGCTAGCAGCAATCCTCCTGGGCCAGCCTTCCAAGTGCTGGGATTATAGGCTTGCACCACCGTGCTTGCCATTTACTCCTTAATTTGGCTTGTCTTTTTCTTATTGGTCTGTACTTGTTTTTCTTTTAGGATTAGGTTTGCAGTTTTTGTTATTTGTTTGTTTATTTGTTTGTTTTAATTCTATCTATGCCTATGTGCATTTTGGGACTAAATGTGTATGTGAGTGCAGGTTGCCCTGTAGGCCAGAATAGGGCTCTGGGGGCCCTGGAGCTGGAGTCAGATGTGGTTGTGAGCCTCCTGGTGTAGATGCTGGGAACTGAACATGGATCCTCTGGAAGAACAGCAAGCGCTCCTAACCACTGAGCCACCTCCCTACTCCCAGGTTTTCTTTTCCTTATTGGTCTGACGCTCTTAAATACTCATATCGAATATTAATTAGATGTCTTTTTCCTTTGTGTCTTGTCATCTATGGTGGTATTCATTTAAAATTTCATTTTGGTAAAGTCAAATTTACCAACAATTCTGATCTGCTGTGCCTTTAAAAACTCTCTGCTGCTTTAGGTGTTCCCTGTGAGGTGTGTACATGTAGCTTCATTCAAAACCTTTTATATCTTTATGTGTAAGTCTTCTGGTTTGGAATGCTACCTGACAGATGCCAGGCTCACATATGGGTCTGCTTCCAGGCTTTTCTATTCAGTTCAGCTTTTTTTTTCCAATGATATATTGTCTTAGAACTTTCAGGTGAGCTCTGACATGTTGTTGAGCAAGTTGTCTTTGGGGGGAGGGGTGTTGGCAAGTGGTGTGTGTGTGTGTATTGCTATGTATGTGATCCCTGTATGTACATACAGGTGTTTGGGTGGGAGAGGGCACTTATCAGTTTGCCCACATGTGGAGGTCAGAAGTTGACACCAGCATGACTTCCTCAGTTGCTTTTCTACTTTCTTTCTTTTTCCCTTTGAGACAAAGTCTGAGTAAAAAGTTAAGCGTCGCGTCTTAGGAAGTCTTGGCTGTGGTTTCGGAGTTGCCCACTGGTCCCCATCTGTTCTTTATCTAGATCCTCTGCCTCATCAACGTTAGTCACAATGGCGTGAGTGAGTCAGAACTGATGGAGCTGTACCCAGAGATGTCCTGGCCCTCCCTGATCTCCATAGTTCACAGTTTACACAAAATGTGTCTGCTGACCTACAGCTGTGGCTTGCTCAGGTTTCAACATCTGCAGGTAAATGTTATTTCTAACACCTTTTTAATACAAAGGGTGTTTTTTGTGGGGGTTTTGTTTTTTTGTTTTTTTTTTTTTTTTACTTATAAGTATCATTGTAGCATTTTGTGCTATGTTTTACTGTATTAAGTGAAATGTTTCAGATGTTAACATCAAAAGCTAAGATTTGGCACTATAATGTTTTTTGCAGGGACTTTAGATTGTGTGTGGAACTTGCCCAACACTGAGCATGTGTAGTGCCTTCCTGAGGCAGCTATTACTTCAAAGGTGGTACCCAAGATGCTTTAGTTCTAAAGATCTGCTGTGAAATGCTGTTTGTAGTTAACAACAGTGTATTGCACACTTCACTCTTAATTAAAGGAGCCAGGCTCAGTGGCACATGCCTCCTATGCCTCCCAGTACCTGGGAGGTGGAGGCAGGAGGATCAGGAGTTAAAGACTAGCCTCTGCTATGTGGTCTAGCCTGGCTGTGAGATCATGTCTCAAAACCCAAATTTATTAAGAGGAGCTAGGTATGATGGCACATGACTATAATCTCGGGAGGCTGAGGCAGAAGCTTTGTAAATCTGAGGCCAGCCTAGGCTACACAGCAAGAGGCAAGTCTCAAACAACCAAAAAAATAAAAAAAAAAGTATCTCTCTAATTACATGTTACACTTAAAATGTCTTTTAAAAAAGAAACCAAACAAGCAGAGACTTTAAGTTCTTGTCATACAGGTCTTCATTTGCTTGGTTAGAATTACACCAAGATACTTTATATTATTTGTGGCTATTGTGAAGGGGGTAGTTTCTCTAATTTCTATCTCAGCCTGTTTGTCATTTATGTACAGGCTACTGATTTTTTTTTAAATTAATTCTTGGCTCCAGCCACTTTGCTGAAGCCGTTTATCAGCTGTAGGAGTTTTCTGGTGGAATTTTTGGGGTCACTTATATACACTATCATATCATCTGCAAATAGCAATGACTTCTTCCTTCCCAATTTGTATGCCCTTGAAACTGAGGGTGGGGACATCTCTGTGACAAGCTAGAGGCCTAAGTCACAGAAGGCTCCTGGGAAGGTATGAGGAGGATTCAAACAGAGACTCCTAGTAGCAAAGGCCATAGAGACTGAAGAGGACACCCTCTAGATAGTCTTTTAGTAAAGAGAGGGGATCCCCAACCCACCCACAAAAACTTTAACCCAAAATTTACCCTGCCTATGAGATGTGCAGGGATAAAGAGAGAGCAGAGATTGAGGGAATGCCCAACCAATACTTGACCCAACCAAAAACCCACCCTACTGGAGAGTACCAACCCGACACTATGAATGGTACTCTGCTAAGCCTGCAGACAGAAGCCTGTCACAGTTGTCCTCTGAGACTCTACGCAGCAGCACCTCAAAACAGATGCTGAGACTCGGCCAAACATTGGTTGATGCATAGGGAGTCTTGGGGAATAGTGGGAGGAAAGAGAAAAGGACCCAGAAATGACAGGAGTGCCACAGAAAAACAATAGAGCCAACTAACCCAGGGCCAGAGGGGTTTGCTGAGACTGAAGCATCAACTAAGAACCATGCATGAACCGGACCCAGGCTCCATACAAAGATGTAGCAGATGGGCAGCTTAGGCTTTAAGTGGGTCCTCTAGCAAGGAAAGTAGGGACTGCATCGGACACGGACTCACTTGCTAGCTTTCAGATCACTTTTGCCTGGTGGAACTGCCTTTACAGGGCACAGGGAAGAGGATTTGTTCAGTCCTGATGCAACTTGATGAGCTGGGATGGATGGGAAAAGGGGAGAGGGAGAGAGGCCTGGGAAGGGAGGAGGGGAGGAATTACAAGGATATAAAGTGAATAAAATAAATAAATGAGAAAAAAATGAACAAATCGAGCAAAATTCCAGTCACAAAACACATAAAGCAAAATCAGAAAGGATATTTCTTTCTAGGAATGTAAATATAAGGCAAATGTAAGAGTCAGACCCCTTTCACAGCTGCTGGCCCCAGCTCAGGAGCTGTTCAGTGCTTGGTGAGTTCTGAGCTGAGCAGACTGTCCAGCTTCCCACAGTGCTGTGAAGGGCCTAGAGATGGTCCTTGAAGAGTTCAGACCTGCTGTGTGGCTCATTGTCATAAATCTCCAGAAAGTATGGGCCAATAGAATCCCTATCATATCTAGTGCCATGACTGAGTTGTGTATGGAATCTTTCACCCGAGGGTGCTGCATCCTCTCTGCCATTGTAGAATGCTTGTCATTTCAGTTTTGTTCCTTTGTCCCATATGAACTGAACATAATTTACTCTTCTGAGGTACCCTTTCAATCCACTTAAATTTTTTTTTAATTTTTAAATTAAGTTGTGCTTTGTGTTCTTAATTTCTTTTTTTTAATTTTATTTTTCTTTTTAGTTACATTTTGTTAACTCTGTGTCCCAGTTGTATCCTGCTCCCTCATTCCCTCCCCAACCCCACACTCCCTCCCTGGTCTCCTCCATGCCCCTTTCCAAGTCCACTGATAGGGGAGGACCTCCTTCCCTTTCATTTGACCCTGTTTTATCAGGTATCTTCAGGGCTGGCTGCAAAGTCCTCCTCTTGTGTTCTTAATTTTTACATTAAACTAAGCTTGCAACATCAGCATATCCTGAATTTTTAAGTATCGTGGGGCTATTTCTACAACATAGCTACAGGATGAAAGGCTTATACATTGCCTTTTGCAGGTCCGCTCTCAGGTGTATAGAGACTAACACAGAAACCAGTATTCTCTTCTTCCTCCTCCCAGGCCTGGGAGACAGTGAGGCTGGAGTGCATGGAGGATGCTGCTCTCATTTCTTCATATAGACAAAAGCTGATCAGCTATTTCACCTCGCAGCTCAGGTACCAGCAACGTCTGCACTCCATTCTTCTGCTGTACCCTTTGTGTTCTCTTTTCCCTTCCCTTGCTTGTAAGCTGAAGTGTAAACTTCAGCCAGGTCAGGAGACACAGGCCTGTGATACAGGCTACTTAGGGAAACTGAGGCAGGAAGACTGCAAGTTTAAAGTCTGCCTGGGCTACTGAGTAAATTCAAGGCTAGGCCTGCAAAACTTAGTGAGACCTTCCCTATCTCAAAATTAAAAGCTGGGAAGGTAGCACAGCACCTACCTAGCATATGCCAAACTGTGGATTCAATCCCAAGTGCTGGGAGTGGGGGGGGGGGGTAACACTTTAATTATAACCTGGAGAAATGTATCCTTTCTTTATTCCATATTACTATCAAGAATGAAATACCATTTTAAAGAAATATTTTGTTATTATGATAAAGGTGAAACTTTGGATGACATTGATACAAAATCAGTTTGTTGTCTTTACTTTTATTCTGTTTGAATAATTTAAAATATATATCACATATGTGCATGCTCTCTCTCTCTCTCTCACACACACACACACCTCTGTGTATGTATATTCAGGTTTCTTTTAATGCTTCTTCTTTTTCTACTTTTCTTTGCCTTTATTTAGGAAAATACCTTTAGCAAGTAGAATTCTAATGTTCTGGGTTTTCACTCTCAACCCTTTCAATGTTTCAGTGTTTCATCTCCTTTCTCTTATCATCCTGGGGAAGAGTCTGGTCCAGAATATCAGGGGTTTACATTATAATAAGAATGGTACAACGTTTCTGGTATCAGGCTAGCTCCCTTGGCCTTGGGTTACTCCAGTCGGAAGTAGTGGTTACCTGTGTTTATGTCCTTCCTGCAGTCTCCTGACACCTTTGGAGCCCTCTGATGCCGAAGGTCTCACTGTGTGCTCTCCTCTCTCCCAGTCAGGACAGAGTGACCTGGAGAAGCGCCGATGAGCTCCCCTGGCTCTTCCAGCAGCAGGGAAGCAAACAGAAGCTTCATGACTGCCTCCTCAATCTCTTTGTGTCTCAGAACCTTTACAAAAGGTCCGAAGCTCATTCTTGATCATCTCTCCCCAGAGGGGCAGATTTAAACAGCTAGTTGTTCTGATTAACACTGGAGAAATGGAATTGTTTTTAAATTTTAGCTCACAGAAGGTTCGGTAGCACCTGAAATACAAACAGGGGGTTCAGGATAGGGGAGATTCTGTAACAGTTTATACATTGTCATGAGATCATATTTGTCCGGGCTGGAGCGAGTACATTGCTGCTCTACAGAAAGCAGCTGGAATATTCTCAGAGAAATTTTATATCTTAGTCTTGCGTTTAAGCAGATTTTAAACTGTGCAAAGAAACTGTTCCCAATGTCTCAGGGCTTCCAGGTCTCCCAAGTGTCACCTCCAACCAGATTCTAGGCTCCCAGTGGAAACTGACCAGTGTGAATGTAAACATTGCTCTGTTTCCTCGGCACACTCTGTCCCCTCTTTTGATAATTTGAATTTGCTAATGGCGTCCCTGTACTTTTATTAGCCCAACTTTCGACCTACTAAGCCTCAGGAAGGATTTTTTTGTTTGTTTGATTTCTGCCTCATTTAGAAAGTTAGAATGTCTAAGAAAGCAAAGGTGTGAGTTGATTTGCTCCTGAGCAAATGCTCACAGACTCCATTCTTGGACCCGGGGAGCCCCATGCCAGCTGGTTGTGAGTTCTATGAACTCATACTTAGCGTCTGTCTTGGTGTCTTGCTCGCCCTCCTCAGTATGACCTGCAGATGAACATTCTTGCTTCCCCTAGCTCCTTGAGACAATCGAGGTGGCTACGCTGTGAGAGCTGGCCTGTTTCCCTATTTTCTGCTATTCTAATTTCCATCCTTTAAAATGATCTGGGGGTGAGCCGAGTTAACCTGAGCATAAACTGTCTACCAGGGATTCCAGTGAATCTGCACCAGACCCTAAGCAAGATTTTAGCGATAGCCACCAGCATCGCCAAAGGCCTCCCGTGTCCTCTGCGCTCCGACAGCAGGTGGTGCTGGTATCCCATCTGTACAGACAATGGTGAGGGGTATTGGTCAGCCAGCCTTCTGCAGATGCCACAGCTGGGAGCAGTGGATGGGTGACAGTGCAAGTCTGGCCTCACTGTCTCGGTTCTATGCTTGCCTCTGTGTAAACCGCCAATAGCTCCTTAGGGAGGAATCCCGGCATTTTCCTTTGCCACAGACCTGAAAGGATTTTTCCCATCAAATTAACATTGTCTGTTGGAACAGAGGACACTTTGCGGAGTTGCTGAGTTACTGGCAGTTTGTTGGCAAAGACAAAGGCGCGATGGCGACCGAGTACTTTGAGTCCCTGAAGCAGTACGAGAACTGCGAAGGCAAGGAGAACATGCTGTGCCTGGCCGACCTGTATGAAACCCTTGGCCGGTTTCTGAAGGACCTAGGCCTTCTCAGCCAGGTAACTAACCTCAGTGGACTCAAAGGCAGGATGGCTTCCTGCATGTACACGTCTCTCCTAACCGGAAGGAGGAGCTGTTTTCCTCTGTGGGTGCTGAGATCTGCCTCTCAACCTTGTTCCCAGGCTGTGGTGCCTTTGCAGAGGTCCCTAGAAATTCGGGAGACAGCGTTAGATCCAGATCACCCAAGGGTAGCCCAGGCCCTCCACCAGCTGGCCAGCGTGTACGTGCAGTGGAAGAAGTTTGGCGATGCAGAGCAACTGTATAAACAGGCCTTGGAGATCTCGGAAAATGCTTACGGGCCGGACCATCCACACGCTGCTCGTGAGCTTGAGGCGCTGGCAACTTTGTACCACAAACAAAACAAGTAAGTCTTAGATGACTCACACTCTGGCTTCATGAAGAGAGGATATGTAAGTGGCAGGTTTTGCTTTGGGTTCAGATGGCATTTCCTGCGATATACAAAGAAAGTTAGAATTCCCAGGGTTTTCTTCGCTGAAGAGGCATGAAGGATAGGCTTCAAAGTCATGTAAGTCTGGCTCTCCCACCAGCCATCACTGTAATGCTGAGCACATTACTACGACAGGGACATGAGCTATTCTTAGTGGCCGTGAGAAAGTTTGGCAAGAAAGTTTTATTGGCTTCCAGCCATGTTCTTACGTATTATCTACGATCACTGCTATGCTTCAATGGAAGGAAGGTTTTCTTAGTTTTGACTGAGGCAACAGAGCCCACAAAGCCTAAAATATCAACTTCCTAGGAAATGTTGGCTGATCAATAGTGTAATAAAAAGGCATTCAAAGAAAAGGTATATATACCTCGGCAACAGAGCGCTTGCCTAGCTTGTATATGGCGTGGGTATGATTCCCCCAATTCCACATCAGTCAGCACACTTTTTAGAAGCTTTTCTACCTACAGGGTACCTGCCAAGTGGCATCTCTTCCTCTTTCAGAAATTCCTTCCCTTCCTCCACCATGTGGGAGACTTCCTGGAAGTTTTACTTAAATACTGCTTCATACTGACTTTGCCCGGATTTTTGCACTTATAGCTAACCAAAAATTAGTCTGTCCAGATAAAAGGTGTCCACTGCAGATTAAACTTTGGGATTTTTCAATGAGTAGACTGCTAGAGATTCGGGTAGCATTAAATCAGTTTAAAACAATTAAATGTGAGCTCTATCGAGGATTGTGTGGGTCTCTTCAGAGACTCTGACCTGGAGTCTCGTTGTACTAGACAGGCTGCACTGTCTCAGTGTCTGCATCTCCCTGAATCATGACTCTTGGAATTTGCTCTTTTCCCTGACTTACTGTATTCTCCCCTCCCTCTCTCATTTTTGTAAAGGTATGAACAAGCTGAACATTTTAGGAGAAAATCTGTTGTAATCCGTCAGCAAGCCACAAGGAGAAAAGGCAGCCTGGTAATAAGCTTTTGTTCCTTGAACTTGAGGAAAAGAAGAGGTCTGGATACCACGAGGGCATAAACCTCACACTGAAGACCTTCGAGTTTTAAGTGACTTACAGACAGACACCGATTGGGGTCTTCCCTTTACATCTGATCATGGTAGAAGAATGGTATTGTTAAAAGCCAGAGGGTGTTCAAGTTACAAAGCCCAGCTGAAAGGAGGTTCTGGAAGGTTCGGTTTCAAGCTACTTTGACTCTCTTCTGGGGAGAGCTAGGAAAGGGAATAGAAGTTTAATTAACAATTTCTGTGAGATTCAGACTTACAAGGGAAGATTTGTTTCCCTTGAGCAAACAACGTTGTAAATGTTTCTAAGTTACTGATAAAAACCTAAATATAGCATGTTTAGCTTCATACTTGTCTGTACGTCAGGTTGGTGAGAAAAGTGTTTGCTGCATGGGCATGAGGGCCCAAGTTTGATCCCCAGCCCCAACACTAAGAAAGGACAAAGGCTGGCATGCTGACACACTTGTGATCCCAGTACTGGGGAAGTAGAGACAGGAGGATCACCGTCACTTTCCTGGCCTAATTGTCGATCCCCAGGTCCCAGTGAATGACTCCATTTCTAAGAATACGATGGGTAGCAACTGAGGGTCAACACCTGAAGTTGACCTCTGGCTTTCACAGGCATATGTGTGCACATATGCATGATTATAAAAAGATAGGTATAAAATGCTCTGTACAGGACGACCTGATGCTTGTGTGTGCAGCTAGAGTTCATAAAGATTGGTAAACTGTTGCCTAGTCTTTTTTTTGCAGTGCTTTGACATATGCCATGCTAAGATACTTCATGATCATTTTCATAAAATAGTGTTTGATGAATTTGTAGAAATAAATACACAGTCACCTCATACATGCTGTATTCAATGTGCTACTTAAAAGAACTGCCATCTAGATGAAAAAGAAAGGCTTTTGTTAGCACCCGAGTAGATGCTTCCAGGGTTGAGGCTGGTGCTCAGCGGTTGTGGTTTTGTGTCACTGCAGTATGGGTTTGCCCTGTTACGCAGACGGGCTCTGCAGCTGGAGGAACTCACCCTAAGCAAGGACAAGCCTGAGAATGCCCGAACCCTCAATGAACTGGGTGTCCTCTACTATCTCCAGAACAACCTCGAGTGAGTAGTGTGGAACTCATAACGAGATTAAGTACCCACTGAGTCTCTTTGGTGCAAAGCTGTTTTACATGTCTTTCAAGTCCAGAGTTAGGAAAAACAAACACCTCTGCTAATTTCCTGTTTGATATTGGCTTATGAACATTCGCACACATAATGTCTTGTTTGCTTTCCCTTTCCACGTTGCTTCTGAAGCTAAGTGTTATTCTGCAGCTTCCCCAGCATGGCCTTCGTGCTTATGGTGAGTGAGTTAGTGTGGACATTGCAGGTGAGATCTCACAGAAGCAACTTCAAACTGGCCAGAAGCTCTTAGAGACAGTGGCCGGGCACTGCTTTCACCCCTCACTTTGCTTAGAAAAGACTTCACACCTACACGTCCACTGTCTGAAAAGCAAGTGTGTCTAGGTTTCAGGAGAATACAACACTTTTCATCTGCTTCACTTAAGTTCCTTTTAATAACAATTATTTGGTAGCAACTCCTAAGGACAAAGCAGCAGATGCCAACATCTTTCATTTGGCACAGATCTGATCACTGTTGAGGTCTTAGAAGGCTGTTTCCAAGAATATCTGTGGGTTTTTCTTTTAGGAGAAATGGAGTTGATACCTGAGCAACCATACAGATGCCTCCTGGGAAGGAATGGGAGGGAAGGGCGGGGTAAGGCAGAGGGGTGGGTGTGGGCTTCAGTGTGTCTAGGAATAAAAATGATAAAAATGCTTCTGCTCTCCATATCACTAGGGCTTAGGGACCTGACCTCTAGACAGTAAATTGTTTAAGGCATTTTGGGGTTTTGTTCCTAGAACAGCAGAGCAGTTTCTAAAGCGTTCCTTGGAAATGAGGGAAAGGGTTCTGGGCCCAGATCATCCAGACTGTGCCCAGTCCCTGAATAACTTGGCAGCTCTTTGCAATGAGAAGAAGCAGTATGATAAAGCAGAGGAGCTATATGAACGTGCCCTGGACATCCGGAGACGAGCCTTGGCTCCTGACCACCCTTCGCTGGCCTACACAGTGAAACACCTTGCAATCCTGTATAAGAAGACGGTAAGTAGGCCTCACCAGGCCTGCATGCAATGCACCAGAGATGCCATGACTGCTGCCAGCTGCTTAGTTTACTGCCAGATGGGAGGATATTGCAGGTGGACTTTTTAAAAAATATTATTTCATTTTTAGCAAACAAGAACATGAAGGTATATATTGTTTTGGATTTAATCCAGTCAACATACTGATTTGGTTTTTCTGAAAATACATTTCAACTACAAATCCATCTATCACCCTGGTGAATGAGTTCCTTTCAAATGCAAAACATTTTATCAACATTATGAATGAGATTTATGTAATCTCAGAAACTTTCAAATTCCCCTTACTGTACTTGCTGTTAACCAAAACACGCCAAATCACCCAATGGTGTGGGCTGCAGAGTGCCATATTTTTTCCTTATTATTATTATTATTTTATTTTATTTTTTTACAAAATTGTCATTTGATTGCACTCTTCTCTGATTTTGTCTGCAATTAAATGTCAGCCCTTTGCCATGGGAGTAAAGTTTGGATTTTTGTATCTGTTCAAAACAAAACTTGGCCACCGTCTGCAGTGAATGGTGCAGCCACAGAGCAGCCAGCTGTCCTGAGAAGCCGTGAGGCTCCCTGGCTGGGGGTCCCGGCACGGAGGGTCATGTGGTAAGGAGGGAGCATGTTGTCCTCTCAGGTCAGCTTCTAAGTTTAATTCACCAAGAAACCCCAGAGGGGAACTGTCAGTTGGCGGGGAGTGATTTTATTTTGATGCCTCCATGAATCAGGTACAGCAGCAGATCTACACCACTGCATTTCTCTTTTACTGGAAACACTGGATGAATCAAAAGTACAGATTATCTTTCCAAATTTTCAGACAATGTTTGTGTTCCCAACAGCTTCATATAAGTATTATATTGGATTTTTTTCAGTGGCCTATAGGCATAACCGACTGTAGAAAATGCTTCTGCAACTTTATGTCTAGGGAAAGCTCTGGTCAGACAGTATTTATTGCTTTAATGTTTTGTTAGATTACACTTTTGTTTTTAAGGGAAGAGTGGACAAAGCCGTACCTTTATATGAACTGGCTGTTGAAATTCGGCAAAAGTCCTTTGGCCCAAGGCACCCCAGTGTAGCTACTGCCTTGGTGAACTTGGCAGTCCTTCATAGCCAAATGGTAAGCGTCTATATTTCAACTGTTTACAAATGAATGATCTGAAGCTAAAAATATATAGATAAATGTGAGTTAATGGCACAGTAAGGAAAATATAAGGTTATTTAGCAGCTAATGCTTCCTTTTTAAATATTCCAAACATTATTGAAGTTAGACTTGTAAGCTGGTTCCTTTCTGAATGTAGGAGACCAGCTGACTGCTAAGTTGAGATCAGGTTTGCTCTTTGCATTCTGGAGACTTCTGTCAGCCACAGACCGTCTCGAGCATCTGCCTGGGTACCATCGGGCGGCAGGCTTGAGCTTATATTACAGAATCAGGTCAGATTGTTACTAAACCAAGTCTAAAACTTAGAAGAGTATTTACTTTCTGTTACTCTGCTTCTCCAGTTATGAGTGTCCATGAAATAATGTTCACTTGCATCTCTTAGGATATATTTAAGATTTTCGAAGGCTTACCAAAGTAGGTCAGCTCAGTACAGAATACATTAAAAGTAATTTCAGAAACACTGTGTTAGGTGAACACCATTACTTTTTGTTTTTTAATAAGAAAAAGCACAGTGACGCCCTGCCACTATATGAAAGAGCATTAAAGATTTATGAAGATAGCTTGGGACGGATGCATCCTCGAGTCGGAGAAACACTGAAAAATTTAGCTGTGCTCAGGTAAGAACTTTTCCTCTTTTCTCTATCCCAATATTTACTAGCTTTGTCTCATCACAGAGCAGCATGGCATATTTATTGCTGAAATGTCTTTCCTGGAGGGAAAGTAGTTGTTTTGGTCTCATGTAGCTTTGGAAACTCCTGCAGTACTCAGAAGCATAGAGGGAGCAGGTTTACTTTTTGGAGGTGTGTATCATGGCCAGTAGTGAAGATGGCTTATACCAGGTGCTAACTGCCTCTGAGGTGATAGGGCCATCCACTAACCTCAGAGCTGATGAGTTAGGTGTGTGTTGTTTCACTTGCTCCTATGTGTTCATTTGGGGATGCAGATGATAACATTATAACATTTTACCTATTACAACATGGTATTAATGGTGCATATACAAGAGACAGAAAGTTCTACAGTGTAGACAACAGAGTTTGGGAACCCTGGCTAACGGCTAACCAGTCTACCTGAGTGAATGTCCTAGAGGAGAAAGAAAAAAAAAAGTGTAGTGATAATGGGAAGTACTTGCAGCTTGCTTTTGTGTATCTTGGATGGCTATTCAGAAGCAAGAGCTTGATGTTAATAGCACTGCATTTCTCATGTTTTTTCCTCACAAAGCTATGAAGAAGGGAATTTTGAAAAGGCTGCTGAACTATACAAAAGGGCAATGGAAATAAAAGAAGCAGAGACATCACTTTTGGGTGGAAAAGCTCCTTCAAGGCAGTCATCAAATGGAGACACGTTTATCTTTAAGACAACTAATTCTCCTAATGTTTTCCTTCCCCAAGGACAAAGGTAACAGTATCAATTCTTTGCAAGAATACCTCAGGCTTAAACAGTACCTGGAACATTCTAATTCAAAACTTAATGCTTTTAAAGAAAATCACTTTTCTTTTAACTTAGTGTTATTTAACTGGTATTTGTTTGAAGTTGTACTGGATCACACTGAATTGTTGTGTCAAGTTTAAGTTGATTAATGAACCCATTTCCTATGGGATGAGAAAATATTCAATGGCATGAGGAGTTCGTTGGTTTCTGCAACAAGAGCTGGCAGGAGCCCGCTCTTTTTCTCCCTCAAGAGCAGCCTGAGCTCTGCTGTTCATCCGTCTGTTCTCAGCAGGGCTCTGATACAGTTCTCTACCTCAAAGAACTTTCAAGGACAAAAGGGATGTTCATGAAAGGTCTGAACTGCCTCCTGTGAAACAAAGTAGACAGGAATTCTTGTTTGTATTCTGGGTTTGTATGTAAGGATATGCATGCATAGACATGTGGAGGTCACAAGGTCAGCCTTGGGTATCATTCCTCAGTTGCTGTCTACCTTTTTTTTTTTTTTTTTTTTTTGAGGCAGGGTCTTGGTGACCTGATGCTTATTTAGCTAGGCTGACTGGCCTTCCAGCCTCCTAGTGACCTATCCTCTTGCCTCCACCTCCTTAGACAGGATTACAAGCTTCCATTTCCATGCCCAGCTTTAAAGTAGGTTCTGGAGGTTGAACTCGGGTCCTTAGGCTTACATGGCAAATGCTTCACTAACTGAGCTGTCTCCCCAGCTTGTACCATGTGTGTGAATCTGTGTAGCTCAGGGTGATCATGGACTCGTGGTCATCCCTCCTCAGTGCTGGGACCACAGGTGCATACCACACCTGGCTTGGCCATTGAGTCTTCCTTTGCCCTAAGCTGATTTAGTCAGCCCCTGCTTTCTGTGCCTCCAGGGTTATCGCTGTGCCACACTGTGCTGCAGTGTCTGCTGGCATCCACGCAACCACAGTAGTCAGGCTCCTTACCGTTCTGATCTTCCTTAGTATGGTACCAGCCTGCAATCCCAGCTCCTCACAGGCCGAGGAAGGAGGTTCTTAAGGTCAGGGCCAGCCTAGAGTATGGGGTAAGCTCAAGGCCAGCCTGGGCAACTTGTGAGACCTTGTCTCACAATAGTAACGTAGAGCTGGAGACTCTACGTGGTAGTATGCATCAGGTCCTAGGTTTAGTCCTAAGCACACACACAAAAAGCCATGACAATTTCATTTCTTTTTTAAATGGTCTGAGTCAATCTTGCTTTACCTCAATTAGTTGTTGTTTTCATCCTGAAAATTAAATATTTTTATAGATTTTATAAATACTGTCACATTTTAGATATTGTTATTTGTATATTTATAGTAAAATCTTATAAGATCTCAATTGTGTATTATTGTAAAGATGATAAACATGAAACTGTATTCTGTTATTTTAAAATAAAAGTGCAACTGCAAGTTCTTTGTTTTGCATTGTGTAGCAGAGGGCTACTTTGCAGTAGAGGGCTATTTTGCATTATTATTTAAAAATAAACATTGAGCATGTTTTAGCAGACTTGAATACTAGCCAAGTTTACTCAGTGGTTTGTTCAACTCTAGTGACTGCAGGGCGTGCCTAGTGTCATGCAACTCCCATGGGAAGCAGTAGCCAGTGTCATCACCACCCACAATTACAATTCAGACTTCAAGGACCCTCCCTGAGGCCACTCAGAAGCAGCCTGAGAGCTAGGGGCCAGGAGCTGTGAGTTTGAGAAGCATTGCTGAAGTCTAGAGTCTGTGGTAACTTAAACTAGACAGGATGTCACAAAATAAGCTTCTCCTACCTTTTGGGGGAGGTTCAAGGTTCAGAAGAAGCTAAAATATGACTGTAACTTATCTTCTGGGGTTTACCCGCTGTGAAAGTACAAATAACTGAATTCATGAACATATTACACATTGTTTTCACAGCTCATCTGTCACACTTTAAAATCTGATTATTTCATGACTAATTTAATACACTAAAATAAAGTATTAAGTTTACCACCTCAAAAAAACTTTAATATTTATTATTTTTTCTTCCAAAATTTGAGAATTATACAAAAATATTTTAGAAACTAGTGTTATTTAAGTGACTTTATGGCACAAATTATAACTGAGGTGGTCACTAAATTTCTCTTTCCCTAAACTATATTCATAATAAAATCATTATTTTACCTGTATGTTTTTACTAACAGTATGTTCTTTCCCTTCGTGAGAATGCTAACAAGTGCGAGTAACATTTGTGTGTAGATCTGTGAGACAATGTTCATATTCCCATAGATACTTGATTCAAGGATTATATTAATGCTAACAGATATGATTCTCAATTCACATATCTCGACAGCAAAATGGTAATTTTCAGTCAAGTCCCTTAATCATAAACAATTGGCAGGAACCAAATTTTGCTGTAACTTGTCTTCAGTACTATACAGAAAGGGAAACACAGAAGACAAAAATTGATTTGGGCAATCAAAGCTGCTCTGATAGTCCTAAAATCAATCACTGCGCTTTCCTATGGGTCCAGGTTTGTGGATATCCAGGGAGTACTTCCATGAGAACAAAACACAAAAGCCTTACCTTTCTGTTAACAGTAAGAACAAAGTTGTGACTGGTTTTACTACATCTTGACTCGAGTCTAGAGTCACTGTGTTAAGGTTTTGGGACTGCATGCCTTTGTTAGGATCCACAGTGATTACGAAACTGTCCAAACCTCTATGCAGTAATTCACAGCTCATTGGTGGCAAATTCTCTTCTGCTGTCTGCTGTCTGCCGACTGTGGGAAGAACAGAACACTACTGAACAGCTGCCTGCAGCCAGCTTTTTTGTTGTTGTTTATTTGAGATGACAATCTATTATTTTTTGTTTTGTTTTTTTTGAGACAGGGTTCCTCTGTGTAGCCTTGACTGTCCTGGACTCTCTTTGTAGATGAGGCTGGCCTGGAACTCACAGAGATCCACCTGCCTCTGCCTCCCCAAGTGCTGGGATGACAGGCGTGCGCCACTGTGCCCAGGTGATACCCAGTATTTCTAATGAAAGATATTAGCAGAGTGAGATGCGTTAGGATTCGGGGCAGTGTAGGACACTGTCAAGCAGATCTTTAGAAGATGGTGGCTCCCATGCATTATATTTAACCAAACCTACAAAACTTAACAGTTTTAAGTAAGTTTGAGAAAATTCATGAACCAGTATTCCTAAAGACTTACAGAACAGAAAAATGTATTTCATTTTTAAAATTTTAAAAAAGTCTAGTGATTTCAAAAGTTATTCTCCAATCTAGTAAGTTCTGTGAAAATATTTGTAAAGATTTATCAAGGCAATGTAAATCTAAGTTTCAAAGCTAGAAACGCTCGACTTCACTATAAACATGAAAATCCACATCTAGAATCTCAAAACCAGGACATCAAATATACGTCTGGAGTTATTTTACAAGTCGGGAATGGCACTTTTAATGTTTGCTAACATTTTCCGATACATACAATTTAGACATTCATTAGTATTCATTTCATAAGTTCAAGGTAAAAATCATCAACAGTCATGTCAGGCATCAGTTTACAATTTAAGTGGTCACAGTTAAGAAATGGAACCCTGGCAGGGAATACCTGTCAGCCACTGCAGAGGAAATGTTGAGTTTCTCCCCCCCAGGAAAAGCCTTGTGAGCATCTCACTACTTTTGGAATCAAATAATCAGGAACACTGTATCTCAAGAACACTGCATCATGCCTGCACTGCAGTACCATGGTGGCTCCAGGCACTTCTGCTACAGACAGCACCGCCTTTCCCTTGGTCGGTGAAAATGAGAATATAACTCATGTTTCCTGAATGTACTTTTATCTGTCCATGAAGATGGCTCTCGTTAAACTAGGCTCTGTTTTAAATATTTGGCCCATGGGTTTACACACTGCCAATGAAGACATTCTGCTTGCATTTTACTGAAAAACACCTCAGGGATGTTTTTATTCTATAGGCTGTTTCAAGTCACCCCTGCCTGGTCAGAGTATTAATGGGTGACAGTCCAGAAGGAAGGCATTCACCCAGACACTTGCCGGCCACAGCCACCAGGTTACACATCTCATCCTCCTTCTGTGCTACTTATTGTTCAGGGCCTCAGAGCACAGAGAGGGAATTACTGTAAAGAAAATTATAGAATGGGATGAGCCCCTCCTCTCCTTTTTGTAGAAGCGCTACTGACTTGGTTGCAGAGGGAAGCATGAGGCAACCATTAGTATTCAGTACAGCCTAACAACTCAGTGAAGATGCATATACCAGTTAAGGCGGCCCTAAGCTTATCAGTTCTGACTGAATATCAAGGGAATGGCCTAAGCACAGGAAATCAAACAGATGCCCGTCCACTGTCTACATGTTCTTCATCTTGGCCATGAGATCTTCCAAGCTTTCACCAGAATCTTCTACTGTTACTTCAGGAACAGAATCCTCTCGCTGTCAACAAAAGGAGGAAATGCAATGAAAATGGAACCATGTAAAGCCACTTGTCCTCACAGTCTGCTTCACTCATGCTCAATGCGACTGCAAAGCTGATTTTCTCTGATAAATAGGTTTTGAAATATTTAGGAGAAATAAAAGTTCTTTATATTCCCCACCAAAATTTTGTTCAGAAAGCAGCAACTTCAATAATCTTGACATTCCTATGGAGTTTATTTTTAATATAAATTTACACTTATTTATATCAGACCATGAAGTTATGGTACATGTATACACTGTGTGATGTTCATGTCATATAAGCCTATCTCCTCAAACCATTTCTTTGTAATCAGAACATTCAAAGTTACTGCTAACTTTCTGAGCATACAACAATGACTACCTACAGCCACCCTCTGTGACAGTCACCAGAGCTTAGTGTTGCTGGCTAGCTGTAACCTTCAACTTTCCATCCTTCGGCCTATGCTCACCATCGGGAACACTATTCCACTCTCAACTTTTATAACATCATACTTTTCAGAGCCCACATATGAGTGAGATCATGTGGTGTTTGTCCATCTGTGCAAATCGTGTTTCACTTAATTACTTCCAGGTCTATGTGTCACAAATGACAGGTTGTCATTTTATGGTTCAACAGTATTCCATCCTGTGTGTGTGTGCGTATACATCTATCTTTTATGAATTACCCAATAGACATTTTGGCTATTTAGATATATCCCTGGTGAGACTGCGGGACTGCATATATGGGCCCTCCGTTCTGTTTTCCATAATGGATGTGCTGATGCACCCTGCTGATAGCCCTGTATTCTTACATTCTAGGTCCCAGGCTGCATTCTTGCTAGCACTGCCTTTTTCACTTGCAGTGAGACGTACCTCACTGGTTTTTATCTGCATGACACTGAGGATTAATGTTTGGCAACTTTTCAGTCACTACTGCCTATCTGTATGTCTTTTTGTCTTGTGGTCCCAGCTCCCGCTCTTAAGTCTTCACTTGTGAAAGTCTGTATTTCTATAGTTTGCTCATGTGCATGCTTTCTCTCTTTCCCACTCGCCCACCACCGCTCACCTCCCACCCATGGCCTCCCCTTCCATATCAAACTTGCAGATCTCCAGCTTCAGTCTCCTAGGTGCTAGGATCACAGGCACCATCACCCATTCCTGAAGTGTCCTAAAGTGGGTTTGTGGCTAGAACTGCCAACATGTGAAAGTAGTATTTTCATTTAACCAAATTGTGTTTGTTTTGGTTTTTCAAGACAGGATTTCTCTGTGTAGCCTTGGCTGTCCTGGGCTCACTTTGTAGACCAGGCTGGCCTTGAACTCACAGAGATCCACCTGCTCTGCCTCCCCAGAGTATTGGGATTACAGGTGTGCACCACGCCTGATTCTAAAATATATACTTGATACATCAGTGAAATTTTAAGTCTCTCCTTTCTCAGTTTCAAATGAGCTGTGCCTATTTCCATGCTGACATATCCATTTCTTAATACCTCACTGCCTACACTATAAATATCTAAAACAGGAAATGCCTCACCAGCCTTCGAAAGCTGAAAGAAGATAAATATATATATTTCCTCTTATCTGATATTTACATATGGGTAAATCTGATTTCACAAATACCTTCTTTGGGACTGTATATGCCACTGTAATTCCTTCAGGTAAGGTGGGAATGGGACCTGAAGAGTTCTTCAGTTCCTCTTCTGAAACCTCAGATACCAGCTCAATACCTGTAAGTTACACGTGACCTGTGATCATTATCAAGAGAACTGTTACTTATGCTTTTGTATAATCTTGCATTCCCCCACAAGACAACAAAGAATTATTTAAAATTCTGTGTACACTCCTGCCCAGAAAAGTGTCTTCCAAAGTGAGTGGGGTGCACGAAGGCTTCTTACCCCACTCGTTGTCCTCATGAACC